TACCGAGTTTCGACCGTAGCTCATATATCCCCACATAGTCTAGACACCATACTTCAAGTGACAAGTTGTGCAGAGCGCACGCAGTCATTCACCTTTCTCATCTGTGCCCCTTTAGTGTTTTGGCTTAAGCAGCCAGCGTTATGGGCCACTGTCATTGCCATGCCCGGGGCCTGGATCTCGGCCTCAGATGAGCTCTTGGGTTGGTGGTTGGACCACGGTCCAGGCCAGAATGACAACTGGCAGTTCGAGGTCCACTTTTTTTGCGCCTGATGGGCCAGGGGAAGCTTGAAAATGCTTTTGCATACAGGGGCGAGCGCACGCCTTTCCCAGCATGGTGGAGAGCTGCACGGCAACCGCCCATACCCGGCTTTCAGGTGGCTATGGCGAGACGTCCTCAGTTACTTCTGGAACCAAGAGCAACACATCAACCTTCTTGACGTGACGGCCTTCTTGGTGGAGCTTCGCCGCCACACCCGTGGCCGTGACATTAATGAACATGGGAAGAGGGTTTTCAACATAGTGCACTCCCTGGTCGCCTTCTGTGTTGTGGCTTAGGCACGTTCCTCTTCCCAACGCTTGAACTGCCTGTGCCGCCGAATTACTGCTCGTGACGTCGCTGCGTCAGCCATCCCAGTGACCTTGCGGACCATTTCAGACCTGAACTTCTCTGACGGTGCCTCACGGAAACTTGAGACGTGATCATCTCAAATTGTTGGGGATCTCTGACAAGATAAGTGATGCTACAAAAAGGTTGTTTTGGCACTTTTTGCATGTGCGAGCCCTATACGGCGCAGGTTGTCGACCATTCTCTTGTCCCTGGATGAGCAACTGGCGGAGCACATTAATCACCTTTTCCAAGAAGGTGACCATGTTTCCTTGGCAGGTTGGGCAACGCAGATTTTATCCACAAGGCCGCTTTCACTTGCCCACTTGGCAGCTTTTTCATCGTAATTGGTAAAGGGTCCATCTTCCAAAATGGACCATGTTGCTTTCCTGGCTGGGTGCGAAGGCAATGGCTGCAGCAGCTTTTCAGGTGGGGTGGCCTGACTGGTCTATCCTGGTTCTCATTGGCTTTGGATTCTTCCTACGCACTATGGAACTCCTCGCTCTCCAGTTCCATCACATTCGTCTCTCCCCAACCAAGGTACAGTTGTCATTGCACTCATCAATTCGAAAACATCCTGTGTGTTGCAGCAGTCGCTTTCTCTTCATGAACCGGCTCTGGTCACGATTTTGCAATACTTCTGGACCAAGGCCCGGCAGGAAAGAAGAATCTATACGTCTTCTGTAGACTCCTTCCGCAGCACCTTCGCGTTTTTGGTGCGGTCAATTGGTTTGGACCCGGTTGAATATCTTCCATATATTGCCTTTGACGAGGAGGTGCCACACAGTATGAGCAACAAACCCACTCTTTGGGTCGGACCATGGTCCAGGGTCGATGGAAAGAGCAGCAGACTGCTCTCATTTACGTGGATGGTGCCCGGGCTATGCTCATTCAGTTGACTTTGCCCGCCCAAATCGTGAAGAAGATCGTATAGCATCATCAGACGCCATAATCTCCACATGGTCCTCTCGTACAAGGTAGTGCAACGCCGCAACTGCAGCCAACCACTTACGTGTTGCCTGCACTTGCAGAGGACAAACAAAACTTCAGCAAGGAACACGAAACTAGAAAGGGGGGAGTGGGACACAAGGAGGAACACCAAAACAAAACAAATCACCGTCAAACACACAGGGAGAAAAGGAGCACAAACTAAACAGAAAGCCTTAAGAGCAGGAAAGCGCCTGTATGGTTTCCCACCACGGCCCCTCCACCTCCCCTCCTGAGCCGTGAAGGCAAGGGGGTCCTTCTACGGGAGAGGTGGGCTACGGCCAGGCCTTGTGCAAAACTGCTTTCTGTGTTGGGTCTGTAAACGATCCTTCGCCCAACTTGATTTCCAGCCAGCCTCTCGGGACAAAAAAGGCAGTGTCTTCTTGTTTCCGTGCCAGTGCACGTGAAGACTCAACATGTCTTCGTTATGATAGCAAATGTCGTAATCTCCTTGCCCATTGACTATCTGTATAGAGTTGGACGTGGGTATACTCATGTTCTGCAGCATACAATATGGCCTCTGCAATAGCCGAAACTTCTCCTGTATTGTTTGAACCGACAGAGGCCCCCATGTATGAACTGTCCAGGTTAGAAGGGCCTCTAGCATACAACCATTGATCTCCCATTGAAGCTGTATATCCCCAACCTGCCCTAGTGTCAGCGGAACACTTGCCGTCACCCCTGTACGTCTCTACAGTCGCCAGAGGATCCCCGTCTTTGCGAAGCTCCCGCCATTTTGCATGAAGCCCTACCTTGAACCTTTCGGCTCAGAGGGTGTCCGAGCCGCTGAGCGGCCTCGGCGACTCGGCGTCATGTCGACGTCTCCCCTGGCGTCGTCTGGGAGGAGGGACGAGCAAACCTGTAGGGCCATAGTGGGCTATATCGACATTTATGTAGGTATTCTAAAGGGAGTATATATAGGGTGTACAAATGGTTTACAGCGGATAATGAAAGATTTTGGGATATTGCCTTAATCATGGGGAAGCTTATGGACAAGAACATGGAAAAGGAAATGCGGACACTGCGATTACATGGTAATAGTGATAGTAGTGACAGAAGCAATGAGTTAACAATATAAACAATAATTGCAAATCCCGCGTGTGTGATGCTCCATGGGCCGAGGGTCCCCTAAAAGGGTCCCCTTGTTGAGAAATTCCCATGTTCGACGAGGCCAAGACCTTGATTTGAAGTCATGAGATCGGAGAAACACATCTGTCAGCACAGCAGAAGAACATGTAGCACCACATACTCATACTGGAGGACAGCTTGCTGACGGTGATAGATTCGGCTAGTTGTCGCTGGCTATCTTAAGCCCGTGACTAGTTCATCCAAATTGACTTTTGCCCAAAGTTTACGTGCATCAGGCGGGCAATGCTCTGCACATCTCTGCACTCACAGCCGGCCGCAGGCTGACAAGAGCAGGCTCTTCAGGGACGCTGCCTGCGGCTGGCATGGCAGCTAGGCTGCACCAGTGCAGAGAGCAAGACAAAGGCATTCAGCGACAAGCTGCAGGGCAGTATTCTGCAACCCATTGACCGAGGCTGTGCAGACGCCGAAGGGAGTCGTGAGGCTGGAGGCAGTCCGTGCAAACATGATGCTGCTTCAGTACATTGTGCCACGGGAGATTGTAAAGCAGTCGCAAGGACCTTTGCCGCCCACGGCGTAGCCGTGCGAACGTCAAAACCAACGGCCGTGCTGACCTTATCCAGGAGTAAGTTAGCGCAAGCGCTCAAAAGCGTCACAGTTTGAGGCAATCACTGGTGACAGCGTTTCAAAGCTTGCAATGTTTTGGGTTAGAAGAGGGCACATGGAGCTGCTGCACGTATCCCAGCAGTGGCATCTCATGTTCCAGCAATCTTCTCAGTGGCAAGCTATCATGTTTCCAACTTTCCATGCACAGTCTGTTAAAGATTTATAGATGAACAGGGCTGGCCGTTGACCACACATCCTGCTTGGCATTGCTCTGTGTGTTCTCATGGAAGCTCTTTCCAGATCCTCACTGGGCATGCGTTAATATCATGATTCGCATTATTTCTACGGTTAGTCATTGTTGCTTTTGCTGTTGTCATTGTAATTATGTTTATTTTAGGATGCAGGTCAGAAAATCACTGGCATCGGGCAAGCAGGGGGACAAGTGGTGCTTGGGAAGCTCTTTGCTCTGAAGCCTTTTTTTTTTCTTTTTTTTTCGGCCTGTTGAAATGTTCACATTGTGGGAAGCAAAGACTAGAAGATTTCTCGTGTAACAGGATTTTTGCAAGTGGCGGCAGTGGCCTGCAAGTCTTATCAAGAAACATGGTTGCAGGTAATTTCTGAGCGCGCAGCACAAGTCTGAATTGGCTGTGCTTGATTACGTGTTTGCAGACAAGCTGACTGCCTGGCTGCAGGGCTATACCGGTTGGTCCATGGGTGTTTCGGTCCGACGCACTTGATCGCACATTTCGGAACCTATCCATGCCTTAGTCCGTAGGCTCCCGTGGTTTCCGAAGGACCCCCTTTTTGAGAAGTCCCATGTGAGCTGTTGGCTTGGCCTTGCTGATGCTGTTGTAGAGATGGCAGCACGTTGCTAATCAAGCAGCTAAGAACGCCGCTGGTGAGGTTGCCCATAACAGCCCCAAACTTGTGGAGCTTGCAGTTTCTAGCTGTGCCGAGTGGAGAGAGTCACTAGTGCAACTAGTGCAACGTGTGCATGCTGCGGGTTTCTCATTAAGACTGGTGGGAAACGGGCCGGATTGCTCCAGCCGCGCTGGAGGTTTGAATTTTCAAGCTTTGGGCATTCATGTCTCTCATGAACCTGCGACTGAAGGCAACCTTGTCAGATGTAGCAGGTGTGACCGGAAGCAGCATGTACACAGTTTCTGCACTGTCAATGGGCTGCGCTTCGCCTGCTGAGACCAGCGAAAGTCGCACAGTGTAGGTCGGCAGCGCCGTGTCTGCAATTTGAAAAAGAGCGTAGCATCGCCCAGGTGCATTTCACAAGCCTTTCGAGGCCGGCGTGGAGTGTTGCAAATCAGGACTTCTCAAAATGTGCCCTATATAGCGCTTAAAACGGACCCTCATTATCCTCTTACAATCCCTAGGGTCCCTAAGGGCCTTTGGTTTTTGAGAAGCCCACGAATAGGCGAGAGGGCAGCGCAGCTTTCTAGCTTTGAGCCAACTCTTGCTCGACAGAGCGCACGACAGAGAAGCACGGATATCCTACCTGCATCTCCCACTCCCCGGCAAGATGGCTGACATGGAACGCGTGGAAAAACTAGACTCTGTTGTAGATTCAGCAAACATTGAGCCGCCACGGTGGGGAAGAAGGAAACAGCGACGACCCACCCGAGAGCAAGTCGAGAACTCAGCAAGACTTTGGTGAGGATCCCGAACGCCAGGCTTGGAAGCTCAAACACACTCAGAATGGCCTGGTTGTTGTATCGTGGCCTTTGCCCCTCTTGTCACGACTTGGCATGACTTAGCAGTAGCAAGACCCTGCAGGGAAAAAGGCAAAACAACACTTGTCTGGAAGCGTTTAGAAGCAGCACAGCTATGGAAGGCTGATACAGCGTGATGCCAACATATGCCAACATCAGACTTTGTCACACAAAACTAGCTTGACGTTTTTGGACTCAGAAACCAGCTTGCGCGAACGACATTGAGGATGCTGAGTTGCAGCGGATGGAAACAGCCAGGGCCAGGGCACAGGGCACTCGCCCTGTTCCTTGTGGCTTTGTGCACAAGAAACGTATGCACCTGCTTCCACAGATATACCCAGGGACCGGCCCCGTGAAGGCAAGCAAGGGAGACAAACTTGCAAAACCCCAGCGGCCCCATCTACGCTACAAGCAAACACATTGGCATTTCTTAAAATGGGCCCCGCTATCACAATCTCTCGTAGGGACCCTCAAAATCCCCCTATAGTCGCTACCCTCAAAGGCCTTAAGGGCCTGCATTTTGAGGAACCCAACTTTGAGGATTCCTTACCGCCCGTAAGGCAGGTAACGTGTTTGGGGAGCAGACAGAATCAAGAAGCGGCCTGCAAACTTTGATGGATGGCAGCGGCAAAAAGTACACGAGGTTCATCCTGGATGTCTTGCAGCACTGCTGGCGCAATAGCTGAACAGTTGTGAGCACTATCAACCTCAGCAGGTGGCCTACCGCGAGATAGCAGAGCTGCGAAATTTCCGCCGTTTGGAGGCATGTGAGCAAGGATGCAGTTTTGGAACGCCGAATCGCATGCATAGTCGCGTGTCAGTCGTGTAGGCATGGTGCGAGTGATTACCCTTGCTTTGAACATGCAGCGATGATGTCTGGCAGGCGGCTTTGAGGCTAGATGCTAGAAGGTTAAAACCATGGAGGGACGGAATGCTGATGTAGCTGCAACATCGGCGGATGCAGACTGGAGCTGGAGGGGCAAAATGATGGGAGAATTGGAGACCATGCAACGGAGGGCTGGAATATCATAGGGCTTGGCTGATGTGCTTGGGCTTGGGGTTTCCACAGGATGCCGGGCTCGGACAGCATGGATGTTTTGGGTTCAGGGTGCTTGCTTGGTGGAGAGTCTAGCTTGATTTTTGGAGCTTGGGTTTTGGGTGTGACTTAATAGGCGAGTTTCAGCCAGATAAAGGCTACGGACTTTTCTCAGAGGTCGCTCACGACACACAATGTTTAACGTCCCGAAGTATCACTATTTACAGCTATTGCCACGGCGTGGTTCAAGAAGGGAGGGCTTTGCCAAGAGGAGGGTAGTCTCTGTTTTTTGAAAGCCTTACCGCAGGAACCAAGAATTGCTTGATCTTGGTCTTGAGGATCCAAGAGCCCACAAGCTTGTTCAATCGATTAAGCACTGCAATTTCTTAAGTTAGTTTTAGATGGCTGGGGCTTTGAATTTAAAAGGTATACATATGCCAGGACTACATATCTGCTTCAAGGCAAGTTTTCTCGACTCTTAAAGGCTCGAAGGCCAATCTTTTCACGAAGGCAGCCCAACAGTAAGCGGCTGAGCAAACCGCCTCTCCCAAAGGGAGCCGCTCCCCATGCCATCGCCACTGTATGAGGGATTCAAGAGTGGCAAGAGTGCAACGGCACAATGAAATAGGGAAACATCCATCCAGAAAACCACGTCACCTGGAGCCACGCCATTCGGATCATCGAGATCGAGAAGACATAGCCTTTCAGCACTTCAATGAAGAGCACTTGAATGGAGTCTGCGCACCACAAAGCCGCATAGGCACTTCACAACTGTACATCAACCAAGTCATTTCCACACACAATTGCATCGCCGGCACTATACAAGACATAGTGGAGCAAGCCCACCATGGTCAACCACGCCAGTCGCATCATCACCACACATCACGAAGACATAGAGGCATCAGCACGAAACTAAGGAGGGGCAGGTGCAGTGCGCCATGTCGATGCACCAACCCCCACAATGGCGCAAACCATAGTCAATCCAGGCAACTGGATCACCTCCAAAAACTCCGGAAGTGTTGACGCCGGCATTTGCACCTGTAGAGCATTTGCACACAGTACACAGCGCAGCCATAGGCACCTCACAACTGTACACTGGCCATTTCTCTCCATCCTCTAAGCCGTTGCCAAGTCAAAAAGAGAGTCAAGTCTGCTCATAGGCACGGCAGGGCGCATAAGCCAGCTCGCCAAACGAGAAAACAATACGCATCTCCCCCTCTCAAGCATCAACCATGAAAGATTCGCTACACGAAACATGGGGCAGTGGGGGTCACACCACCGCCGCCCGCCCTTCGGCAGGCCAGAGACACAGCATTCAAGGTGGTGGCCGAGACTACAATGCCCCACACAACTCGCGCAACTCCACGCAGCAATGGGCAAAGCTCATCTCTCCCTGCAGAGTGCGACCTTATCACAACCACGGCATCGTACGGTAGGGGTCGCCCCGTTAGCAGCACACTGCAGCTGCCTCAAACGTCGTGCTCCCCTTGGATTTTGAGGGTGTCCACCCAGCCCCACTGAGCCATTGATGTTGGCTGCACCGCGACGAGGCTCCCTAGCGTACTGGCCACCACAACACCAGTATTCACGATGTAGGTAGCACCGTCCGGGGTAATTTGTAAACCATTTCCTGCCACGAGTTCCCGTGGTCCCTCCCGGATTTGGTGCTACGCCCTGGCGGGAGCATTCTTGGAGTTCTCAGAAGCTGGCCTCCGAGCGCGGAGCGTTTTGCAAAATCGGTCTTGAGAAAATCGCTTGCCGCGAAACTCAGGACTGAATTACGAAATGAGTATGTAATGGATAGATAGGGATTATGAGAGGATTGGGGGGGGGCCCTTATTCTAGGGATTACATTGCGATTTATTGAGAAGCTCCCGCACGACGGGCTCAATTTCATCATCTGGCGGCTGGGGACCTGCGCAATTGCAACAGCAAGGCCCAAAACGCACAAGCCGCTCGGCTCTTTGGGTATTCAGGGTTTAGAGTAACTCCAAAACCTAGATCTGCTCAAATCCAGAAGCTTTAGCTCTGGTTGTTACTAACTAATCCAAAAAATCAAGGCAAATTTAAGAAAATCTGGGGCGAGGCTCAGGGTACTCGAGCGATTTCTCATTTTCAAAAAATCTGGCTTTCTCATGTATTTCATATATGTTGGTGGCTAGCCGAGGGGCCTAACGGCCAGAGACTGATAAGACAGGGCCATCGCGGCACAATGACAGTCAGGCAAGGCACCTCAAAAAGATCACTTTTCCTGATTGCAGCGTCAAGTGATTGAGGGTGAAAGATGAAAATCCATGTCACGTGGAGAATTCCCCCTCTTTAACAATGGGTCCGTGGGAGGGGGGGTCACTGTGGGTCTGTCCCATTTCTATCGGGTCCGGGCCCTTGTCTGGAACACCGGGGCGTGGCTAGGCTAGAAATGATAGGTCTGGGAAGCCATGTTTCTGGACCTAAATCATGTGGCAGCGTTGTGATCTGCTGAGATAGTCGTCCCAACCCCCCTAACATGCATGTTTCAAGAAATGGGTCTAGACCCATTTTCTGGGGGCGGTCCCCCACCCCCCCCACCCTTCGCCCTGTTAAAGGAATGTGGTGACTTTCAACATTTGGCCAATGAGATGGTCTAATATCTGGCCAGGACCAACTGTTTGTTTCAGTGTCTGTGCATTGCGCACCGTGTGGCGCGCATGCCGCATTCGGAGCGACCAGAAAGGCGTGCATCTCCCGACACGGCCATGAAGTTGATAAACGGGTGTTTCTCAAAATGACCCCTAGAGTAGAGGATCCCCAGCGAGGATCCCCATAATCTCCCTACAACACCTGTACACCCCTTATGCCCCCAGCGGCTCCCCATTTTGAGAATCTCCCAGATTTCATGCACCACGCGAACTTGAATTCAATCATGAGGTTGATAATTTAAGTGTCCACTTCATGTTCCATTTGCTTCTCCACTATCGATGCCCTAAACTGAACATACCATCCTATACTTGTAACAGCATGCGACCTTGAAATCAAATTGCTGTCAGCATCTTTTTCTGGCGGCTGATGTGGACCGCTCCGGTGAGATGAGTGAGGCCCTCAGGTTCTTGAGTTGCCAGGGAAAGTTTTAGAGGATATAAATATCAGGATCATATTGGAGGTAGGCAGAATGGCAGGGCAGGGGATTGGTCTACAGCGAGGGCTCCTGCGCATCCTGCGCCTCGAGGCTTGGACGAATTTCGGCAAGCTCTGCGAAAGCCCTGGTTTCAAAGGCCAGGCTCCGAGGATCCGAGGATGCTGAAAGCACTGAAACTTCAAACGCAAAAAAAGCTCGTGGTTTCCCTGCGCTTGGAGGTCCTTCTCATTGTTGGGCGTGCAGCCACATCAAGCAGAGGTGACAAAGGTCCTTCAGCATTTTCGCTATGCTGCAAACCGGGTCAGGTTGTCTTCAAGAAAATGAATACTGCAAACGCCGAGGCGCGGGATGGTGATGTTAGAAACATCGGTCCTGTGGGTGAGTTTGAAGACTTTAAAGACGGACGAAGCGTATCATGTCGATAACGCAGAATCGGCTCGTGTTGAACCGTCTCTGCGATTTCTACCTGCGTGTGTGAGGAGGGGAGACAGAGGCTGCGAGCGAGAGAGATAGAGAGAGAGAGAGAGAGATACTTTTTGATCATTTCACAGCTTGAGTCCACAGGGCTTCCCAAGCATGAACGCGTCGCTGCGGCCTGGCTGTAACAGCTCGGACTCACAAGCGGCGTGTCTGGCGAAACTGGTCAGGGCACACTTCGGGATGGCGGATAGATGAAAGTCGTGAGGGGTCTGAGCTAGGGTGTTATTGTGTTTTGTTCGTGAGGGGTAGGAAGAAAGAGGCCATCCATGAAGCAGTTAGCTTCACAGCCCTGACGAGCAGGACACGCACTAAATTGCGAGCTAAGCCAGTGGGGGACGTACGGCAGCTCGGATTTTGTGTGTGTCGGTCCTCTGGGGTACCGACTGCTGTGACGCCTGGACCGTGCGGGGTACAGGGCTGGGCCCTGGGGGGCTTGTAGAACCCCCTTCCACCCGAAGAAGAAGAAGATACTTTTTGACCTTGAAAGTCGCAGAAAGTCAAAGCGTTCCTGGTCCCTTGCGCGGCTTAAGTCAGACAAGGCTGTGAAGCCCGGTCTCATTGCTAAGAGAGACTCTTGCTCCTCATCTCTACCCCTGAGTACGCCCTGCTCCGTAGAGCCAAGCTGACAAACACTGTCTGTACGCGGTGCGTATACACTTGTCATGTTGACTACAGGCCAAGTCAGCCACAATGACAAAAGCACATGATATTGCAGTTACGTTTGATGCGCTGCAGCTGCCTCCACTAGTTTGCCGGCACCCCACCATTCATGCACCAAAGTACCGACCCGGCACCCTTGAAGGGGCGGAACATGCTTGATCCGGATAGCCTGTACGATACCACACCACTCGCCAGTCAGCTGCTTCAAACACTGGGAGTACTGGCAGTGAAGGGTTGATGGGAGGAGTGGCCTTGCCAGCAGCAAGATCAGCATATCTGAGAAAGAGAGGGACATCGCTAGAGTGAGCTCATAGAGGATGCAGAGGACCTGCAGAAGAATAGGCGCAGATGCGGCCAGGAGATAAGCATATCGGACTTCATGCAGGGCTTGGAAAATCTATTGGGCACAGATCTGGATGGGCCTCCACGCGATTTGGACGTATCCTTGAGCCTTGGCATGTTTCACGCGGTCACATCACGGGTGTAAGCACCACAGTGAGTTGACAGTTGGACATATGCTTGGTCCGCATGACTCCAAGGCTTAGCTCAAGATTCAAGGCTGGGGTCTGGCAGCTCATTGCATGCTGGGTTCAACAATTGCCAAGCTTGTGACCATTGCGGGCTGAGCAGCTTGTGCCATGTCTACAAAGTGTGCTTGTATTCATTGTTCCCGGCTCTATTCTGGGACAATGATGACTTGAAGGCGAAGACCAAGCTTACCCCTTCAAGAAGTGCCCTGCCCAGTATGTCGCTCTCATTGCTCTTCGAGGGCCCTTTTCTTTTGTGGTGCTTTCCCAAAAGGGTGCGGTGCAAGACCACCAACTTGAGGTGAACCTCTGTTGCACACAGACACTCTGGACCGCTCGGCTGCAGCAGCAATTACAGGCCAAGCAAGCTCGGATTGCTAACCAAGATTGGCAATTTGCATACCCTTTGCAGCCCTTGCATGCCAGGTCCAGGGCAGGGGCAACTCGACTGCACAGCCACACCTCACATGGTTTCCCTTGCAAGGTCGGACTTATCTTGCAGTTGGGTCAGGAAACACATCTCAGCAGCCCTGGCGGTGTTGTCGCCGACGTCGTCTGTGTCCAAAAAAGCCAGTCACTCAGACTTCTGGACATGCAGACTTGCTGTCAGAAGTGTTGCAACGTGCAGTGCGAGGCGACTCGCAATCGAACGAGCAGTCAGCAGGCCAAGGGCCATGATAGAGAGCATCAATTGTGTGCTGGTGGTCTCTATGCAGCCATGAAATGAGCCGCAGGGAACTGCCACGGGTATGGACTGTCGCGACCTTGGCTCTCTTACGATCATAGACACTTGCAGATTGCACGTGCACGCTGACCAGCACGCGGAAAAGTGTTCTTTTCGTGGTGCAAAAGCAAGTCAGCCGTTAGCATAGTAGTTGTTGAGGGGGCTCACACTTGAAAGCTCAATGAGGTTGTCCGACAATTCTCGTCAGTGTATGATGTATATAAGCCAAACCAAGTAGAACCCGGACTCATGGTTTAGGTTTTTGGCTTTAGATTTAAGTCTTGTGGGCTCTGGCAGGGGTGGACGCCGTACATCGCCTGAGGATTCCTCAGGCGATGATTGCAAAAACTTGCATAATGTTTTTTGTCTTCTCTCATGGGACCCATGGAAGTGTGAAACTGAAACCCTGCTCTCTTCTTTCTCTTCTTCCGTCTATGCAAACAAAGGACGGATGGAGATGTGTTTGCTTTCTTCTGTCTTGCAGCAAACATTGAAGGATGGAGATTGTTTGACGTCTTCTGCTTTGCAAAACAGTGAAGGATGGAGAGTTGTTGACTCCTTTTGTCTTGCAAAACATTGAAGCATGAAGATTTGTTGACTTCTTCTGTCCGCAAAATTCGCTGGATGGAGATTCATGACAACCAAATGCATCGAAATTAACTTGGAAGCGCAGAAGAACCAGAAAAGCGCAGACCTCCTCCTGCACAACGAATGCAATATTGCAGCGTGAGAGTGTGGGTAACTAACAACTGCACATGCAGTGCATGTGCAGCAAGCGTGAAAAGCGGCACGCGGTGCCATGAGGTCAAGATGCGCCTAACTTGAAAAACTCCGCTACCACAGATGGCGGTTCACCACTGACCACGGAGAGGCGACAGGCAGGGCTAGTTTGGTGCAACATTTGCCTCCGACTGGACAGCTCGCAGCCTCATTTCTGACAGGTGGGCTATGCGTAGACCGCCCGTGCGGAAAGCCAAGGCTTCACTCTCCACCAAGTTCGTGGATCACCGCATCTTGTAATTCTCAGCCATCACCAGGCAATGCCGGTGACCAACCGAACTATCACCGCCTCACTCATGTTATAAGCTTGCTCAAAAAGGCCAGCGGTCCACATCAGGTATGACCAAGGAATTAGAGTTGTACACTGTGAGATCAATCTGGGTCAGCATTGCCAGAGTGCTGGAGAACCTTGGAGGTGTCAGCCGTCCTGTACATACCCTTGGCCCTGTTTCACAGAGCGAATCAGCAATACGGCCGGAGGGCTGGCGGCTGAAACCTGCTGGAGCGCAAAGCATTTGCACAGAATGTCGGGGTGCCTGCTTGAAGCAGAGTTTCGTCCTGTTCGTTCCTGATGCTCATGTTTCGTCCAGAAGCAAAAATGCACGAGATCTTGCCGCAGATCTTCAGGAACTGCGCCATGCGATTCAATGAATTCAGCATGCTGTGAGTTCGTTCTTTCTGATGATTAGTACAAGATAGTACAAGCCAGTGATGGTAGCGGTAATGTAGCAGATGATGCCGCTGCATGTCCTGTCTTGGCCCAACTATGAATAACACAGGCATGAGGATAGCGCACAGACTCGGTCCAGCCCAATCTTCTGGGAGAAGCCTCTGTTTACTTACTTGGGCACACTAGGGATAAGTCATATAAGTATCCGCTTCTTTGCCACAGCATTTACATTGGCAACATCCAGCCAACATGGCATTTGTTGCTGTGCCATGTGTTCAGCACAGAGCCGCCCCGTCCTCCTTGTCGGCGGCAGGCGTCTATTCGCCCCAGTCAACGCCCTTGGGGCGTAAGCGAAATGCACGTGGATTCCTGCTAGCACTTCTGTCCTCTTCTGCAGTCATAGTGTGTAACAGACAGCGATCAAGGAGCAGGGCGAACAGGGCCCGGCTAGTGATGAGCAGCAAGGATCCAGGCACAGCAGGCACAGATGTTGAGGAGCGGCTCCGAGAGGTGGAAAGCACTATGTCAATGGACTCTGTGGAGGAGGACATGCTGCAAGCAGACTTAGAGGGCTTCGAGGGCCAGAAAGGATCTGCAGGACTTCGCTATGCAGAGACCCGTAGCCTGCCGCGCTTCTTGTTCTTGCGCGAGCCGGGCTATCGCACCTTTGCTGCGAATGTGCCTGGGGACCTTGGCTTCGACCCACTCAACCTTTGCACTGACGTGCGCAAGTTCGTTGAGTATCGAGAGGCTGAGCTCAAGCATGGTAGACTGGCCATGTTTGCGGCAGTTGCCTGGCCACTTGCTGAGATCGTCGATGAAAACATCGTCGGGTCAGACACAAACGCTGTTGACTTCCTCGCGGAAACAGGAGGCAAGATGCTCCCGCAGCTTGGAGAAAACGATACCTTCGTTGAGCTCTTTGCTGCCATCGTTTTGGCTGTTGGAGGTGCAGTGGAACTTTTTCGCGGCGAAGGGAAAGATGGAAATGAACCCGGAGACAGCGGCTTTGATCCCTTGAAGCTAAAAGGTTGGCAGCCGCCAAATGTGCTCCGCACATTCCTGCCAGAGAATCGCCCATGGATGGGTGAAGCAGAGGTTCAGCATTCGCGCTTGGCCATGCTGGCCGTTTTGTACGACATTCTCGTCGAGTTCTTCACGCCCAACCCAGTCGTGGAAGATACCGAGTACATCTTCCACAGGATTGACGCCAAGCTCCTGAGGTGGGACTACTGGGCCATGCAGCCCAGTACACTGGACGTTGGCCCAGATGTGCAAATTTAAGGCATGCACTTGGGTACAAACCTCTTGTGCCAGTAGGTTGCTTTCATTTGTCTAGTCCTCGTGTGTTGTAGACACGGACATGCCAAGTGGTGAGAAAAACGTGAAGGCCCAACAACTCTACCACGAAAGTGTCGCCGACGACTGCTTTAGTTTTGCAAACAGCAATGCTCCCACGGCTGCGCGACCTGTGCAGAAGTCCCAGGATGCTGGGAGGATTTTGCTGCAGACTCGCGCGACCTGTTCTTGCCGCAACAAACCTCAGGGCGCGTGCAGGCTCCAGCCATGGTCATTTGCATAGCTCCACATCCTGCCTTGATGCCACACATTTCAACATTGCAGTGCAAGTCCATGATGCGCAAGATAAGTTGCTAAGCACCTTGTGACGCCAACTAAAGGAGAAACAAACGCCAGACTCATCCCACTCACATTGAAGCCTCAGTGCTCTTGAGCCGTGCCCTCTTTGCCTTGAGGAGGACCCAAACCGTTTGCTTGTTGTTGCGCAGCGTTCGAGCTTTGAGCCTCCCAGGAAAGTTATGGAGTATGAAGACATTTTCACAATCGAAAACAGGGAGCAGCAGGCAGTGGACGAGTACTGCAGCTGAGCGGCAGGTTCTGATCGATGTGGGGATCCGGGACCGCAGAGATGCGGGGCACACTGAGGCAAGCAGCATGATCTTCAAGCCCTCGTCGAGGATTTGGTAACACGCTACCTCTCTGAGCGGCCCAAGGCACTGAACACTCCGTTCCTGAGCCATATCACGTGCCAAGGGGTATACAGCTCTCAGGACATGAAGCCCAAAGAATACTTTGCACAGCAGCTACGGCAGAGTCCTGAGGAAGTGCCAGCAAGAGACACTTAATCAATCTTAATCAGTTACCATCTTGCAGTGAGATTGACAGGTTGGAGATGCTCGCCGGTGAGGAGGTCTGCATTTCCCCCGTCCTTAATACTTGACCAGTTAGCTGCACGATGTGCCATGAGAATTCGTAAGCAACTCCAACTTGCATTGGGCGAGCGGTGTTTCAGCAAACAGGGAGTGGCTTTGCTGAGTCGATTCGCTGGGCATGCGATGTGTTTCGTTCTTTGAGCGGCACGTAACATTATGCTGGTTTGTGGTGACCAAACCCAGCTTGCGATGACACAGAGGAAATAGCGATGCTGGTCCGTGTCCATAGCCTGGGGTGGGATGTCCAGCCTGGGGTGGGATGTCCAAGTCACAGCAAAACAAATTGAAAAAAGGAGCCATCTCAGGTTGTTTTGCAGCCCACATGGACCGCTGACATGAACCATCAGCACACGACTTGCGCAAATGCCACGAGCAGCCTGTGAAGAAGTCCTAACAACCAAGAAGATAACCCAAGCACTCCAGATGTCAAATCCACTACCTGTCTTGGTTGACGGCGATGCAAGGGGGGCGTGGTAGTGCATACGGAGAAGCTCCACTCAGATGCATGCCCTTTTCTCATTTGATGTCAGCTGCGCAGATCAACAAAGGAAGCTCCTGATGCACCCCTCCATCTTAAAAGGGAATGCCAGCAGTACCACCTCCTTTAGCGACCGGCAATGCGTTGGAACCAAGCATTGCAATGCCCAGCGGTGACACTGTTGTTTGATGTCCAGCTTAAGCAGCACATGCAAAGCAGGCTCACTTGGTGGAGACAACCTCAAAGGCAGCTTTGTTGCTTGAGACATGTGCTGGCTTGCTTGTAACATACGGGCCTTGTTTGGGGACTGCTTGTCCACTTGCAGGTACCTGGCTATGCCTTGCGCCAGCTTTTCGAAGCCACCAAAAAGTCTCCCGGCTGGCTTGTGAGCAGTGCAAACCGACACGTTATGCCGCAGTGTTGTAAAGCCCCCTGCATCGATCACGTGTGTTCAGGCACATGTATGCTTGGCAGTCATGCAAGTCAGTTTGGGTGTTTCTGCTTGTGAAGTGGTTCATTGATGTCTCATGAGACATGTCGGCCTCTCTTTTTGGCAGTATGCGCAAGCTTTCTTGACGTCAGATTTTGCAGGTCAGGTAGATTGGTAGTTCCTGCAATGGGACTTGTCCTGTCAGGATCACCGCCGAGATTGTTCCTAAGGAAACCATTCGAGCGTCTTGGTGGCACAGCTGCCGCGGTGGTGCTCTCACACAAACTCATGCGCATTGAGTGATCACAGGGTTAAGCAGAAGCAGAGGCGGAATGGGATGCATGCAAAGGTGATAATCAGTGAGAGCCTGAAGCTGTTGAATTGTGACCGCATCTCGCTCTTCGTTTACGACAAGCGCATCGAAATGCGGCCTGACAGAAAGTATCCATAGCGGTAAGCCTTTCCTGTCTCGGCAACCGCCAAGGTTGGTGCTGAATGCTTCTAACCTGGAGCATCCTATCCGAGTAAGGCCTGCTTCTCTGAAACAGGCTTTACCATTTCACTCCACATTTTGTCACATCCTTGCTGTAGCCCAAGCATGAGTGGTACTCCTCTCGCAAGCCACCTTGATGCGATGCGATCGAGCAGAAAGTTTGTCCTGAGGCCTGGGCAGGGTATTTCCGGCAATGTTTTCCGCAGCAAGCGGCCAGGCTGAAACAGGCAGTCGAAGAGAAGTCGGTGTTCATGACACACACCCTGCTTGCTTACCATGCTTGCCGGCATTGCTGCATGCTGTGGCATTATGCGGAAACGCTGAATGATGGGACGAATCTCAATCAGGACAACCATGACCATCGCCAACGCAAACAAGCAAGTCATGTACTGAAACGGACACGATTAAAGGACCAAAGCATGCCAGCTTGCTGCCGGCTGCAAGGGAAAGTGGCTTGCTGGAGTGAGACTCCGTATTTCAAATAACGACGCAAGGTCAACTACTCGAATCCGCAAAGGCCAGCAGATCCATGTAGAAACTGATTTTCGCCAGCCACATGGAGTGGCGAAAACCAGCGAATCCCGGTCAGAAAACAGTGCTGTCAGAATCACGGAGCTGGCTGAAGAGTCGCAGACAACTTGACAGGTCCTCAATTTCTCGTGCTCGGCAAATTCCGTAGACGAATGAATTCTCCATGCACATTTAACGACAGAATGCCTAAGCGAGGCCTGGCTTGCAGAGTGCCCTTCACTGTGAATTCTGAGCTTAATGTACAAAGCCAGCCGTAGAAGAAGGCTTCCTTGACACGCAGCTTGCAGTCATGGATGTCACGGTATGCTCTCGTGCTAAGGCAGTCAGTGAACATCGCAGTGCCTGGGCTTGAAGAAGTCTCTGTGTCATTTTTGTGCCCTGAGAGCAGTACCCAGGACTGCTACAGCGATGCACGCTTCGACCAGTCCTTTGCCGCTTTGCCGATATTGCGCTAGTACCTACCCAGTAGAAGAAAATAGGTGGGCATATGGTGAAATCAAACTCCTATTTAATCCGATGCAGGAATAGGAATCCCCAGAATCTGCGTACAATATACGTATAAATCTAGAGTTTTTCAGGGCCCCCTATTTTGAGACATTCCCAACTTACGAACCAAGGATGCCGCTACCGGGCCCGTGTCTTAGCTACAGACGTTGCGTCAGTGGCCAGTTGCGATCGGCTAGGTACGTGACGCGCAACCTGCTAGCAATTCCCATCGTGGACTTCGAAGGATCCTGCCTGGGTGTTATCCAGGCCATCAACAAGCTTGGGGACGGAGGTGCGAATATACCGTAAACATGTCTTGGTACCTCGGCCCTTGCCTATTTCTTGCCAGGTAAGGGCTTTGTCCAAGTGGACGAGATCCTGTTGGGGAACTTGGCAGATCAGGCAGCTTGTGCATGTTTGTGTGTAGTTTTTGCCCATCAATCTGCAGACAGCGCTGCATTTTGTAGGTGTCAGTTGCTTTGCACAACGCGGAGTTCTATAGAGCTGCCATCGTTACCAGCGAGCGCGCAAACGTGCCAAAGCTGCACGCAGAAAGCACCTGGCAGCGCACTGCAGAGGGCATCTCTCAAAATACTTCCTATAAAGTTCCTAATACCTAATAGCGACCCCCATAATCCCCTTGTAATCCCTGTGTATCCCTCGGGTCTTTGTATTCAAATTGTGAGAAACTCCCAAGAAACGCAGCGAGCTGGGAACTTATACCTGACTTTTGAGTTAGGCCTTGCTGCAGATGCTGCAGTCCCTCACGCAAGGCCTGCAGACGTGCTCAAGCTGCTGAAGACTTAAGATTTCAAGCCTTTGAAATCCCAAACTCGACGAGGCCTTGGCGCTCAATCCTTGATTTTTTCTGCTGGGAACTCGATGCAAGCACGCTTTGTGGACTGGAGCCACCTTTGCCATGCTGCTTGCCTTTCACTCGATCCCAGGTTGCCACGCACGCCTCCACGCTGGTACACGCGGACCGCTGCACTGTATTCCTTGTCGACGACAGGCCGCAGATGACAAACCTTTGTCATATGCGGACAAATCTAGAGCTCCGACCTTGAATCATCCTTTTTGCCCTCAGCTTGTCACTTTGTGTAATCTTGGTGTACCTCGTGATTATAACCTGCAACACTCTTCTGACGCAACAAGCGTTCGCTTGGTTTAGGCCCTCTTGCAACTGTTCCCAGGGCAGGTGAGCTGATCTCCCACACCACAGACTCGGAACAAGAGATTCGGAACCTCTGGCCGAATGAGACACGCAGTTCTTCATTCATGTCAGTAGCATGCACGGATCTGGCAGATGGACACAAGAACAGGCACATGATGCATTGGATGAAAACCTGACGTGTGGTTAAGCCCTAATCAGGATACCAAAGTCCGTTGGCATTGCCGGAGAATGCGCAACAGAGAACAAGCTCATTGTTATTGATGATGCGCATCTTGGCACTCTTGAATCTCCGAGTAGGCACAATAGGCACACCTTGGCTCATAAGTCGGACGAGATTTCGACCTGTATTTCTCTGATCAAGTGGTGGTTCCGGAATGCAGGTACTGCATCCGGACTTTGTTCTGCAAATTAGCCCTGCGCACATACCATTTCGCCCATGTTACTGAAGGACATGCATGGGGTGAGTTAAGTTTGACTATGATTCAGGTACGAGGACGCCCGATTCGACCCAGAGTTTGATCAGAGAAGTGGCCAGTTGGTTTGACTTATGTGGGAGTTGGTCAAAATGATCCTATATAATCCTTGATGCAGACCCCATCATCCTCCTCATTAATCCTGTAACCCCTATATCCGTTGAAATTCTCTAGGCCCCCCCCCCTTTTTGAAGACCCTATGTCTGCACTCGCCTTTTCAAGGCCGGCCGCGCGACTTGCAAGGAATCTCAGCTGAGGCTATCGGACACATAGCATCATTGCAGTGCCTGTGAAGCGGCCACCTGCAAAAGACAAAGCCTGCGCCGTCATTCAGATGAGCCTCGACTAGAAGAAAGGATTGCCATGGCAGAAGCAGGCCAAGTCCTAGTCGCTAGATCTGCCCGCCATGCGCGCTCTGAGCGATCACGAAATATCACGAGTGCCGACCAGCTGCCCATTCATCATGTGTGCCCTTCCTTCTTCGTCTGCTGGGCCTCGTTGTGACGAAATGGGAATAGCGACTGCAGGCTGGCCAAGTCGCAGCAAGCATGACACACCTTTTTAGACCAGCAAGCTCATCCGCAAGTTCCTGAGGTTTCGGGTGGTGCGGGGAACGGGTTGCGAGTGGCAAGCTCCTGGCGGGTCTGAGATCGAGATTGCGTGGTAGCATAGGCTGAAGGCTTCATAGAAGGCTCCCGTTGCAGAGAAGTATAGCAAACATGAAGCGCTACGGTTTTCTGCCACGGGTGACCTGCAAACTCTGATGCTTATCAGCTAAGAAGGTAGGCTTAAACCTTTTGGAGTCTATATACCAAGTTAACCGTCTGGTTGCTTTGCACTCCCAGCCATCGAGTCTAGGATGGTAGATGGCTTGATAGTAATCTTGCACCGGAAATGAGTGGCAACTTCCATGATAGCCCGGATCAATTCTGCCAGCAGATCAATAATTGCCCCAGGGCTTAGTATAGAGGTAGGGCATATCTCGCGGAGGATTGACCTAGTGTCTGTGTTTATGGACCAAGTCAAAAAAAAATGGCTGGGTGAAGTGGAGGAGCTAGTAAACATCGCCTAGCATTTCCTTTCTTCTGATCTTTCTTCCTGCGCGAAGATCGGCCAGACCGACCTGACTGGTATCTATCCAACCGCTCTATGTCTCCTATCACTGTACGTTTGATTGACGAGCAAAATCGAGGATCAACAAAAAAGAATTTGACGACGAGATCGGCAAGTTTGATGAGGAGGACGTACAGGTCAGGGACGCCAGCACTGGCATTGTGAGTCGTCATTGTTTGCGAACATTGCCGCAAGTTCTGTGTGTGTGTGTGTGTTTCGGCTCATTATGCGACTTGATGCAGTTTGCTCGGAGGTGCTGGAAACCTATGCCATGTTTGTGGCCACTCAACTGGCACAGTCTGCTTTGGTCAGCAGGGCGGCTTGGCAGACTTAAATAGAATAACTGTTTATGGTCTCTCTGACGCTAAAGCCGTCATCTTGCAACTGCATTTACTGAGCAGGGGTATGCTTAGAGGCATCGTGGTCATCTCTGGCTGAGGACTCTTCGAAGGCAACCTGCGCGGTTCTGCACCCTCGCTCGTGCGTCGGATAGTCTTGCAAAAGCATGCATTTGGTATATGTTTGGAATGACAAACTGGAACGGGTTCGGTTGGCAAACACAACATGCAATTTCTCGGAATTTGCATCGCAACCCCTCTGACCATCATTGAAGAAGTTGTTAAGCAGCTGAAGGAACCTCCGGTTTGGGGCGCCGATGCAAACAAGCCGGGCGGAGGGTCTGCTGGGCTGAGGGCTGGGTGGAAAAGTTGCCAGCAACCATGAGCAACCTCTGTCGCCTAAGCCTACTAAAAACTGCACACCTGGTGCGTGGATCACATGAGCCTCCATGTCTTTCTTGATGGCGTCGCAGGGCCCCAGCACTGCTGATGAGCTGATGATGGGGCGGGCAGACAGCAATGGACACAAGCCTCTTGCATCAATTGGTTCCATGTACATTCAATATGTGTCGCTGCTGGGTTTGAATCAAACGCATCAACAATATCGTTTTGACCAAAGTTGATGCTTTGACGTAGGGATACCTGCAAGTTTTCAGCTGCAGCAGCGCAATGTCGTTGGTCACAGGATACAGGTGCCTGAATCATTATCAATATTATGATCCTAGATTCCTTTACACCCAAAGTATTCAAAGTATAGCGTACCTCTCATAGACCTTGAGCCTTCCATGACGTTTGTCATTAATTTATGGCTCCTACATTACCCCGGGCCAAGGATTTTTAAAGGTTTGGCCAAGGCTGGGTTTGGCTTGGTCACCTTGGTCTCCTTGGTCCGAGTCGATCGAACCCTCTGCAAATGAAGGTGCTGCTACATATTTGGAGAATTTATTTCACTTTCTCAGGGGTTGCAATTGGGGCAATTACTGTAACCATACATTTTCAGAATTTGCATCGCTTTTGTGTTTGTCATCATATGCTATCACTGCTCATAATTGTCCATCGTACTTCATCGTTTTTACGTCTTGAATTGTGTTTCATCATGTTCATCACTCTTAATCACCTATTGTCATGAATGTTCATCATCACTTGCGTCATCTTCATCATGTTTTCATGCCTGTCTCAAGCGTTTCATTAGATTTCATGGCAACAAACGAGCGCCCGCCCCCTCCGCCGGCCCAAAAAAACGCACATCCAACATGAGCCGGGGCTCGCGGCGCAAGACCCGGCCGATCAGCCAATCCCCCCAAAGAAACGAAAACAAACACGTGGGATGCGTAGGCGGAGGGCTAACTAACTCTCCTAGTCTCTGAACCTGGTTCTACATGCTCCAGGCTTCCGGCCTCGGCAGATTTCACCTTGTCATCACTCTTCATAAGGTTTGATTATTCTGCATCATTTGCATCACTTTTGATGCTAACTCCCAGAGGGTCCAGGGTCCAGAAGCCACGACAGTCACGAAAGCGAGTTATATGTGGACTCAGCTGGAGTTCAGGTTTACCATAGAATGTTCGGCGGATCGGCGTGTCAGGGGCCCATTCCTGTGAAACTTCAATCTTTTTAGAGGCATGCAGGGGGGGCGGCCCCCACTTGCCTGTGGCTATGATTAATCAAGAAGGAACTGGCGAGGTGTCGGCTTGATATGAATTGAATTAAATTGAAGGCAGGGAAGGGGGGGCGGGCCCCTCCCGCCCCGCCTTGGACCCCCTCCCCCCCTTTAGGGTTCAACTCTTCAACGAAGGTATCATCACATAGCCATGATTTGAAGGTATATAATGCAATGATGACCCGGGGACATGGGCTAGCAGTGTTTGGCATCAACATCATCTGCGGCAGTTTGCATTGGAGACGCGACTTGCATTGCGAAGCCATAGCATACCCAAGACGTCGTGAAAGCGAGTACCTATGTACATTATCATCCTGGAATCACTTCAGGGTATACGGAACCAGAAATTCCCAAATCATAATGTGTGACTTTTACTCATAGACCAATTCATGGTATGAAAAGGATACAAGGATGCCTGGTCATAATACCTAGTTATTGGCTATTCCCGGATATGATGCTACAAAGAACCACCGAAGGCCAAAAGATAAGACTTAGCTATGCCCATTCTGGAATTTCAGGATACAAGGAACTAGAAGGGGCCGAATCGTAATGCTTTGCTATGACGATTCCCAAAATTGAAGGTTATGCATGGCAAGGAATGAGGAGAGGCCAAATGATACTAAATGGCTACTCCCAACTTTCAGGGTACCAGGAGCCAGCAAGGGCCAAATGATAATACTTAATTATGACTATTCCCGAAGTTCAGGGTAGAAGGCAGAAGAGAAGGCAAATCATAATACTTAGCTATGACTATTCCCAATTTTCAGGCCACAAGGAACCAGAAAGGGCCAAATGATACTCTTTAGCTATGACTATTCCGAGGTTTTTGAAGGTAGAAAGAACCAGAAAAGACCCGGTCGGATTAGTTAGCTAGGATTATTTCCCGAGGATGAGGCTACAGTAGCCACAAGGGGCCAAATCAGTATACTTAGCTATGACCACTACGAAATTTCAAGGTATCAGGCACCAGAAGGGACTCAGACATTCATTGTGGGCAGAGAAACAAAGGCCTTTTGTGGTGTTATCACGCGCTTATGGTTTAGAATGTATGGTGCCGGTCATGACCCAATTATATGATTGTGCCCGGGAGCCTTCCAAGAGCACCCCCCAAGAGCACCATTGTAAGAGCATTCCAAGAGTCCTCCACCACCACCATTTCAAGAGCACCATTCCAAAGCCCTCCAATACGACAAAACCACCAGTCGAAGAATTGCAAGGGACCGTACCAAGAGCCCTCCAACGCCACCCATTCAAAATATCCAGTGTTCTCCAACACCACTGCAAATCACTCCAAAACCAGAGCCCGCCCCAGAGTGCATTAAATGCCCTGGGTTGGCACGAAAACTTCCTGCATGCTGAGTGTTTCGCTTTCCAGCTTGAGACTAGTCGCGCAAGACCCGTGCTCGCAGACGGCTGCCTCAGCATGCGCTTAACACTGCATGACGTTGCCGTGGTGCTGCAGAGGGGTGCGAGCTTTCGTTCAGCCTTCTCAAGTTGCGTGGAGCACGACACCGAACCGCGCCATCCCTGTGACTGTCGACATTTTTGACATGCCAAGAGGATCCCGGCAGGGCTCCCGCATGGAGCGTTCTCGCAATGTGGGCCGCGCCAGTGCTCTCAGCACAGTTCCGTGCACGTGCTCGTGGTGAAGTCCAAAACGGTCATACAGGGCAGAATGGTCGTCTTTTTTTTCTCGAAAAATCTTTGCCAAACCTAGTACCAGAAAGAGGGTTGGCCAAACCTTAATTCTCTACCCATTGCCCCGCTTTCTCGAAGCGCCTGTCGACCTAGGGAGCGCTCCGGCTCCACGCAGGCGGCTTATAGTTGGCAGTGTAAACGAAGCTTGCTACGAGGGCGCAGGTGTTCAGTGCATGGAGTGCGTGACACCCGGTACCCCGTGTCCCAGCACACGCGTTGGCTCCGCATTTCTAGGATTTGCACCAAGTCCTTGTAATTCGCTTTAGCACCTAAGCGTGTAGGCGCCGGTCATGGAAGAGATTGATGAAGGTGAAGAGGAGGACGAGTGAGGTGATTCAGTGCCGCGTGTGGTTTCACCAACGACAAGAGCGCGAGCCACCAAAAGATCTCCACACAATGGCACGCTAGCTTTGAGTGCTGAAGCGCATGATGTTTAGATTGCAGTCTCTTCAGTCGGTGAATATCAGCAAATGGAAGCTGTTCCTTTCAACGACCTCACGACCTTCATGTGCGCATTCGCCCATAGCTTGCAATTCCAAGCATAATCTGGTCCAGATTCCTTTTGGCACCGTTTTCTACTTACCCCGCCCTCCGCAATAGCACTTCTGCGCGAACGGTTGGAGACAGTAAGTTCAACTTTTGCATATCCGTGCCACCTGCCGCACTGCCCTAGGCATGATTTCACAGACACCAGCCAGATATTGTTGCAACGACGGTGAGGAGTCGAGTCAGAACGGAGCAAGACTCGAAACGCGGCAGTAGTACATTCAATGTTGCGAGACAGATGTTTACAAATGACTAACAACACCGGAATTGCTCGGCTATGGGGTTATGGTAGTGGCACAGATGGCCATGCAGGGCATGTGTACCATCTGTCTGTCAGAGCGTTGGCAGACTTGCTGGTGAGGGTCTAGTTTAGACTGCTCCGAAATCTCCGAACCACAATTAAGACTTCAGGCAACAATATCTCGTCATGTCAAGTCGCAGTTGGACGGGTTTGGGAGGGCTTTGGGGGATGGGTTGTGCGGTAAATGCCGTAGCAGCCGAATTTCAGCACGGTTCAAGGTACGAGCAAAGGAGCGAGGGCATACTTCTGCTCACACTCTACCTACCTCTGTCCAGACCAGTCTGACTGCACTTTAGCCCCAGCTGCCGCTTTGTCATGCTAGAGGTGTGCCTGGATAGATCTTGATTGAGCAACTCTGCCACATGCCATTAGAGGTGAACGTTGCGCTGCTCAGTGGAGAGCGGACTGCGATTGAGGTGACACCTGATTTGTCGATCAGTGATCTTAGAAACTCCGCAGAAAATGCGCTTCGCCAGACAGTAAGTCAATTAATCACTCCATCAGGGAGAGTGTTATCTCCAGCAAGCACTGTGGAGGAGGTTGGGTTGCAGGATGGAGAGACACTGACAGCTGTTATCTGCAGCGACCGTATTGTGTCATCTAGCAGATCCAGAGCTTTTGCTTTAATCCGAAGCGATGGTTCTTTGGCAACTTGGGGGCATCCCAGCTTCGGAGGTGACAGCAGCGCTGTCCAGCTTCACGATGTCAAGGATATACAGGCCTCACATGGCGCATTTGCAGCAATTCTGTCCGACGGGTCTGTAGAAACCTGGGGGCATGCTTTCTTCGGTGGCAGCAATGCCCGTGTACAAGCAGAGCTTCAGAATGTAGTGAAGATTGAGGCTTGCTTTTGTGCTTTTGCTGCAATTCTGGCTGATGGTTCGGTGGTGACGTGGGGGTACCCGGAGGTGGGCGGGGACAGCTCGGCAGTCCAGGGCAAGCTGAATAACGTCTGCGAAATCGCAGCCTCAAACGGCGCCTTTGCTGCGCTGCTTTCAAGTGGTGGCGTGGTTGCTTGGGGCAATGAAAACCTAGGTGGGGACAGCAGTGCCGCCCAAAGCCAACTTCAGAATATCCAGCAAATTCGAGCCTCTGGGGGAGCGTTTGCTGCGATCACATCAGAAGGTTCCGTTGTGACCTGGGGTTCACCCAATCATGGTGGCTCGACAGGCACGGTCCACAAGCAACTGACACATGTTCGGAGCATCCAAGCAACAAATGATGCCTTCGCAGCACTTTTAACAGACGGATCTGTGGTGACGTGGGGCGATGCTGCCCACGGGGGCGACAGCAGCGCTGTCCAGCATCAGCTGCGAGATGTTCAGGAACTTGAAGCCTCTGGAGGTGCCTTTGCAGCTCTGCTAAGTGATGGATCTGTGGTGACATGGGGTGACGCAGAGGCTGGTGCAGATTCAGCCGCTGTTGAAGGATCCCTGCATGGAGTGCGACAAATACGAGCTTCCCGGTACGCCTTCGCTGCAATTTGCATTGATGGCTCTGTTGTAACTTGGGGGAACCCCGAACACGGGGGTGACAGCCGTTTTGTCCAAGATAGATTGAAAGATGTCCTGCAGATCGAAGCCTCGCAACGTGCCTTTGCAGCACTTCTGGCAGATGGTTCAATCGTGGCTTGGGGAAATGCAGCCTTTGGCGGTGGTGGCCTTCCCCCGGATGCAGATGGACTTCGAGATACTTGGCAAGCGCCATCTTCAAAGGCTTGCGCCTGCACCCGATGATGTCCCGTTTCGTGGTTCTGTCAAGGATATCGCGACGCTCTATCATACTGCAGGCGGTCAAAGATAGCAATGGCCACGGCATGAGATCACGGCGGCGATTTGCATGTTCACTTTGTCTCAAAGTGCCTTGGCGCCGTCACGGCAAGGAGAACCACCCAGCAAGAGGTGATCGCCACAATTGCCGCCTGCATCCTGCCCAGACCCTCAGTCCAGCCGCCCAGCCAGTCACTTCTGCAAGGTCGGAAAAGAAAAGATGATTGCAGGTTTGATGCCCTGAGTTGAATTGATGATGTGGTCAGCAGTTCTTTCTAGTTTTGGTATTCTGGTCAACTGAATATCATGTGAACAGCGAGACCTCAGACACGAATGATCATGCTGGCCCCACAAAGCCCTACATTTGATGATGAGTGAGGACCGGGCAGAAAATTGTTCCACTGATCTCCCTTCTTTCTAGATATATGAATTCCTCGGATGGCGTGCAACATCTCTAGCTTTGACAGCCTGGGCCTCGGCAATTTCCAAGATTCCAGCCCGGTTTCAGCAACTCTGCAGCACCCACCTGCAGGAAGTCGTTCCTTCAAAAGGTGTACAGCGTCATGAGTCATTGTTGTTATATACAATATGGGCTTAAACGAGCTGTTATATACGAGCCTTTATCGTTTTATTTAGGGGATTCCATATCCTTCCGGGGGTCTGGGTTGTAGTCTTCGCAGCGTTGTCAAGCCGAGTGCACGTTTTTGGGGTTCTCGTCGCCTAGTCCTTAAGATGCTCAGGATGTCTCAAGTGGACTTTCCGCCCCCTGCGAGCCAGGGAGTGTTGCCATTGCTCATCATATTGCCTCCTGCAAGGCCCTACAACTAAGACAGTCAAACTATTCCCTACATCATGCTTAAAACGGACCCCCAGAACCCCCTCATGTTGGGAGCATGCTTAGCACAGCAACAGCCACAATCCTAAGCACGATTGGGAGAAGAAAATCGGATGTTGAGGGATGCAGCCGGAAATGGCCCCAGGGTAAGGGCCTAAAGGTTTTCATATCTTTTGTTCACAAGTTTGTGCAAAGTGACGAGACCCATTGCAGGTGCAGGGTACAAGCAAAGCATGGTGGAGTGCTGGCTGCTCTACATCTGACAGAAAGAAAGCAGATTAAACCAAACACCTTGAAGGATCCAAAAACTGGAACCCCTCAAAAGTGTCTCATCGCTACATTAGGGAAACTAGAGGCGCTTTTTGAGGTTCTTTTGTTTGGATCGTTTAGGGGGTCTGGGAATGCGGTGGCTGCGAAAGTCCTACTTTGAGAGGTCGTCATTTCAACTTTCTTTTGGGCTCCTCATTGATGTTAACTGAGCCGAGCCTCAACAACGAAGGAGGTGAGAAGGTTCTAAAGTTTGATTTCGGCTGTCGCTGTGTTGGTCTGCATCCGCTTGCCAGCAACATCTGTCCAGGCCGGGAGCTTTTGCTCAAGTTCTGCGTGCATCCGCTGCCCAGAGCATCCATGCCCGGCCAGTTAGTTCTGATCGGGTGCGAAGATGAAGCCGCAAATCAAACAGCACAGCTCACATTACTCAGCTTTGCCAATCAAAGCAAGAAGGATGTTGAACGTTTTGCTGGAAATTGCTGCCCCCTGGATTAGTCCTGCTACCTTCTCGCAGGGTCATGCAGGTGCCTTGCCTGTCATGTGTGAGTGGCGCCAGAATGGGTTCAGACCCTTCTGGCGCTGTGGTTCAGCCCAACGAACAAGCTGTTGCAGATTGGAGGTGCTTGCAAAAGCTGGATGCGTGCTTAACGTAACGCAGCAGCAGCAGCAGCAGCAACAGCAGCAGCAACAGCAGCAATTAGACGCGACGAGTCAGTCTGAGTAGTATCAATCGCATGAATTCAGCAGGGGTACGACAGCGCCGGCAGCCTAAGTTCGAAGGAAAATGTTGGCGCGTGCACACATGTAGGAAACGAAGAGCCCTCTGGTGAATGCCTGGTGCTATCTGGTGCTTGTGGCTCCCAGCGTTTCTTTATGCGGGACGTCCTGGCACGGGCGAGGCTGAACTCCAAAAGTCCAGTGGTGTAGCCGAGGTGCTCACATTTTCTGATCAGGAGCCATGGCAGAGGCTGCAAGTCTCATTGAAAAGTACCGAGTTGATGGAGGTACCGTGTTGGATGCGCCATGATGCATATCATGCTCCATGTTTGATGCAGGTGTCGACCTGTCGAAGGCCGCAGAGATCCATCACAACATATTGAGCTTCAAGCCTGAATGGGACAGCTACGAGGCCAGCAGCGAGGCATCACCACAGTCCTGAAATCGCAACCCGATGTAGGCGACCAAAAGCACGGCGCATATCCTCAAACTCATAGAGGCAGATGCGCCCGCCTGCGCCTCACTCAATCCTTTCGAAGCCTGGGGCTTTGTGATGGCATTGCTAGCATTTCTCCCTGTTGCGAAATTCAAATTGCTATGGAAGCCAATGGTGTTCAACACATGCATGCCCACAAGCAGACTCTCACTTGATCTAATGCCGCGGCTTACCAAGGCAATCAAGAACAAGTCCCTCATCCAAGGCGCAAAGCGTGCCCTCACTGGGCCAACACCAACCTTTTCTCAACGCAATGGAACGCCTTGTGTGTCTACTTGTAGCATCTAGGCATATACTGCATCTGACCATTCTGAATACAGAATGCAGGTACCTGTAGCATTGCTGTCATCTACTGCTACTATTGTGACTATAGTTACCTTTTTGAGGATACTACTCTTAGCATTTTTGTTGTGATCTGTGATGGTTGTTATCATTAGTATCATTACTACTATGATCGTATTCTATTACTACTATGTGTATCACGACTATCATTACTAGTATTTTGATGTATTACTTAACTCAACTAGTGTTGACCTGGCTGGCAGGACACATACAAGTTTTGCAGGCGTGCATGAACGCGATGTCCATGCGCGTCTTGGCTGACCAAGCCGTCATCCATTACATATTGCCGTGGTTTGGGCACCCTAAGCCCCAGAGCCTGAACCCTAAACCTTAACCGTTTGAACGTGGCCATCCGGCAACAACTGGTGAAGAATCACGGATACCGGTGAGGTGACGAGAGGCCCATTCAGTGGCTCCTCACCTTGTTCTACGACATGCTCAGAGAGGATAGCAGCAGCTGCCCGCTGAAACAGTTCATTCACGACGCGACAACTTGTTGTGCAGCACTGGACAGCCATTTTGTTTTGTGGCTTCTATATAGAGGTTGTGCCTTTGTGAGCTCCTGAGGTTATGCAATCTTCGAAGATGCCGAAAGACAGAAAATCGAGGCTAATGTTCATGAGCTGCTATTGTCCACATCTTTTCATATCTGTTCTTGGGAAGGTCTACAAGCCTCTCCTAGCCTTGCTTTTGCGGCCTGGGCTGGACAACTACACAGCAGACAAGGCCATGATGACCCTGCGGGGCTCGAAGACTTGTATGTCTGGACTTAGGATACCCTCAAGGCTTCAGAGCTCATGCTGACAGGGAGTACTACTTTTCAGAGCCTTCTTGGTCGCTTAAGGTGGGGTGCAGTATTTGGTCGTTAGTTAACACATAGAACACCAGTCTCCAAAAACCGCAAACAAGGAATTCGGTTTTAATTTTCCCATGTACCCCGTGTCGCCTGCGTTCGTGCAGCGCGTGCACATACAGACATGCTCTGTGGCCAGCATGCAGCGCGCAGTCATGATCGGCCGGGGGCCTGGATTTCACAACAGGGGATACCCACGCTTTGAAAAGCACCACGCTTGCTGCGGGTGACTCTGTTGAGTTCGCCCCACAATGTCACCCACAGCAAGCACAGGACGGTGTTGGGGAGGACGCAACAGGTTGAGGCCCGAGGTCGACAAGGACTATGGACCGAGGTGGCCTTTGTACTTTGTAGACCACGGCGCCGGAAAGGGGTAACTGGGAGTTCGACGTAGGCCTTTGCCCCGGTTCTCAGCGTTCCCGCCAGGAATCAAGGCGCGGCCAAGGCAAAGAGCTTCATACTGATAAGTTGCACCTCGTGTTCTTCGGCAACCTCGCTGACAAAAGGATTGACTGGATGGCAGGGGGACCTCATCAACGGTATGTGGGCGGGGAAGTTGTGAGGTGGAGATGCCGCCTGGAGTGGCCAGGCTTGGCCTTCGAAGACTAAGGGGTTCAATTTGGCGAAGGTGCAGCAGGCCGTGTTGATGGTGAAGTTAGAGGCGAGCTTGCTGCGCGTCAGAAAGACCTGGAGGGTGGCAATGTGTAGCGTAACAACAAGACTTGTGTTATGGCCGGGTTCTCGCTGAGCGAAGTTTGCGTGAAGTTTTGTTTTTCAAAATTCTGTCTTGCGCAGTGCGGTTATGCGAATTGTACGAGAGATTGAGTGCTGTTCTCTCATGTTGAGGAAGTTCCAGGGTGCGTGACTTGGGAACCATGTTTTCCTTCAGGCAAAATGGCCCAAAGACCCCTAGACAGGAAAGAAGAACCTGGAGATGTAGTGGTTGCAGATGCTGTGCAGCATTTTGCTGCCTGCAGTCCTTCCCTGGACAAGCAATCCTGTGTCCAGCTGTTCAGGTTAGTGGAGAGCTGCAAGGCTGCGCTTAAGGAAAGAGCTGCATCGGTCCTGGAGGATGGCATGCCATTCTTGATGCAGTTTTCCTGCGATACCACGAAGGTGGTTTCCAAGCAGATTGTCAGCAAACGCGCCAAGGACATGCGTGTTGCGAGATCTGGACAGCAGACCCAAGAGTACATGGTGGCTGAGGTTTTTGTCACTGCCGCTCGGAACACAGGGTCGGATTTGCAACACACTATTGTCTTCCGAGACCCATTCGTGCTCCAGCATGGGAAGACAATGGCAGCTCTTGTCGGCTGCGCCGTGAAAGTGCCAGGCATGACGCTTGTTGGGAGCGAAGCATCCATCCGCATTAGGCACCAAGTTCACGATCGTGGCATCACTCAAAGATTCGTGTCTGCAATCAGTGGCTATTGGCATGTGCGGGCTGGCAGAAAGCAGCATGCCGGTGAATTGGCAAAAGCAACTGCGCGCGATGACAACCTGATGGAGTGGCACTGTTGGGTTGGTTGCTCGGCGCATGATGGTCACAATGCGTTGAAGTGGTCCCATGCGTCCATCTTCAACAACACCGAATTGCTAGAGAACCTGTATGTTGGCATCTCAGCATTGCAGGCGTCTTTTTTTAACGCCCTGGACCTCTTGGGCACATGGATTCTGGAAAAGCTGTCCCCGATGTCGTCCAACAAGCTACCTGCTCCAGGTGAGCTGTTCGTTCTGTGGTGCGCCATGAGCGTGGAAGAGCCATTGGCCAAGAAAATAGCTGACGCTCAAATTCTGTGGCACGACGGGCGGCTTGTGGTTGAAGAGTCTTTCCTGGAGCAAGGGGGCTGGCTGGAGGCTCTGTCAGCGTACCTCTTGGCACTATGGCGCTTTAAAAAGTTTACGCACTCAAGATGGGTCACGGTGGGGACATCTTGCAGAGCGCTGTGCTGTGGTGTTCTGACGGGCTACATGGACTTAGTCCAGTTCTTGCACAGCCGGGGAGCAATTTCCGAGTACACTTGGCATGGCTGCCAGAAGCTACAGCCAGACGTGCTACGCTGCAGCGCGATCTTATCCCTTACCGCGTATATCTCTGAGGAATTTTTACGGGGGGTCTTGAGCGACTCCCGCGTAGCCAAGACACAGGATCAGCTAGCCCAAAGCTTGCAGAACGAGTTTGATTTCCTTGATTTCCTACCAAATTCATCATGTTTCAATGACAGTGCATGACTTGCGGGATCGTGCCATCACAGGAGCACTGATCTCTTGGTGCTTTGTGGATTTCCGAGTTTTGCAGGAAGCTCGTGGATTACCCTGGCGACTTTGCGCAGGGGATGTCAGAGAGAAGTTGCAAAGCCTTATAGCTTCTACGGAGCTGCCCCAGGAGCCGGTCTCACGCAAGATTGTGTTGCTGGGGCAGGCCGGGTTCAATCGAGCCCGTCTCCTGCGAGCTGTGAATTTGCTAGGTGAGTGTTCATGGACAAGCGCTTTCACAGAGAAGCAACATGCCTCAGCCAGCCGGATGAAGCGGCAGCATCCGGATTTGGCCGACAATGTCCTTACTGCGCGCAGCTTTATGCATACTTTTCGGGAACTGCTTCCAGGGCAGTCAGAAATCACAAAGCGAAGGAGCCAGCTTAAGGCAAGGCTTCTTGCTTTGCAACCCAAGAATCCAGAGCGAATCACCGGCAGGCATGTTTTTCTCGCTGGTGCTATGGAGAGGGCGAAGGCCAAGGAAGAAGCAGCCCCAGACACAGTCGTGAACAGGAAAGCGGTCATGCGAGTCCATGGTGGACGCTGGAACCAGCTGTCAGCCGATGCCAAAAATGCCTATGCGCAGGAGGCGATTTGCGAGTCTTTCCTTCGAGAAGCAGTGTCAGCAAGGAAGTTTGCCCTGTCCATGGTGGAAGCAGATGGATGCATCAACGGGGAAGCTCTGAAGGACAGTCATTCCATAATTTTGGTCTTTTCACGCACTAACTTGGCACATTTTTAAGGCATAGAGGCACGAGTATTGCACCGCTGTGGGAATGGGGATGAGTGACGATGACGCGCAAAGGTCCCTAAAGGCTCGTGAACTACTCCTTGTATGTATTATTGTAAGCTCCCATACAAAATCCTGCTTATGAGTATGTAGCCCTACAGCAAAACAATCAAGTTTCGTTATGGGATATTCTTGAAAGAATCCTACCCACTAGCGGAAACCCCCCTGCCCAAAAAATCCGATCCATTATTATGGACATTCTGGAGTTGTTGTTGTGCCTAAAATGGTTGTACAGATCTCCCATGCCTTGTTTGGGTGGCCTGTAGAAAGGGTTTTGTGCAAACGATATAAGGGTTTGTAAAATCCAGAACCATACACTCCTCACCATGTGCCCTGAAGCCGTTTGACTCCTTCACCAAATGCCTACGACAATCCTTTTTCAGAGTACCTTCCTACAGCCCAGAAAGGTTCAGTATACTGCAGACTGAAATGTTTTTTTTTTTCAAAGAGCGCAGTGCAACCAAGCACTTTCGTGGGCAAGGTATGTCATCCGAAAATTGTTTTCAGATGCAGTTTTCTCCTTGCTCATCCCTTCCAGATTTGGGAAGCATAGATCATGAACTGAATGCTTCCGGAACAAGGCCACGTACAGCATTGTTTACCAAAGGAAGACAAGCTCAATGAGACACCTTGTACATACCGTAGGGGCTAGACTACTGGGCGAGCATGCTTTCCAGGTTTGACATAAGTTTGTTTCTGGTGTTGACAAAACATGTTTTAGTTATATTTTTAGATCAGAGTTGTACAGGTTAGGTTATAGATGTGTCCTTTCCTAGAATTTTGCCCGGGTGCTGCTTTTTCACACACGAGACTCCGCAGAGGAGACTCTGGAACAGATTCGTCAAAAGCTTCTCGCTATTGACCAGTACGCTTGGATTGACCTTGCCTTCGTGTCCCACGTCACGGGTGAGGGTGGGCAGCGTGCCTTGGAAGATTCGTTTGTGAAGAACTGCTTGCCCAGTTCGAAGGTACTCCTTTCCTTACCGTTTTGTGTACAGGCAAGCAAAGGCTTGCAAGAGTCCGACTTGTACGTTTTCGCAGGTTCCGCAGCTCAGGGATCAATTGTTGGAGCACACGCTTTGCTCAGCAAAGTTGAACAAGGCCTGCCCCTGACGCTCGACCGTCAGGCCACGCCCTTCATGCAGAAAGTCTTTTGTCAGATGCAGCACTTCATTGTCCACGCAGAGAAGGGCGAAATCACGTATGATGACCAGGGGAGATTGGTGCAAACAGCATCAATGGGGGAAGTCATCAGTGGTGCTCCTGCTCTCAAAAAGTGTTGGCAGGACGTAGAAAGCAAAGAAGCATCCAACTTGACCTTGGGCCGCTTAGAGCCTCTGGTGATTCATGGGCACCTGTTATCCGAAGAGGATAGGAAGAAAGTCCATGCAAAAGTAGAAGAGATCTTGAAACTTTCCCAGGGACAGCCCAAGGCTGCCAAGGCGCGCGTTCCTGCCAAGGGCTCAGGCGCGACAACTTCCAAGCGTAAAGCTAGCAACCGTGCAGAGGGCGAAGACCCTGCAAAGGCCGCCAAAGGCCTTTTTAGCTCAGCTCCCTCAGTTCTGGAGTCCCCTGCGCTGTGAATCCTTGCCAGGTTTGCTATTCGATCCCAGAAAACACATTCTTAGCGAGAGCGAACGAACCTAGCAGTTGTTTTTGTGCTTGCAGGGTAGACAGCGGCAGGGCGATTCAAGGGTATCTCAAAGGGGTGTGATTGCCCATTGCCTGATGCTGCCGTTCCAAGTGCGCAAGCCGCGCTGGATTCAGACATGTGACAGTTCTAAAACAGCAGCGCTCTCAGGTTCCAGACTGCGTGCCTCATTAGGCGTTCGCATGAGCTCAGGGCCAGCCAAACATGTAGCAACAATCTTAAATCTAATTAGGGGCTCGTACATAAAAATCCTACCGATTATTATGGATCTCCTGTAGAAGTTCATAGCTTGAACTCTGGCTTGTTGTTCCAACGCATCCTTTCCACCACTGAGCACAGTCTCTCAACACATCCCAAGTTTTATTATGGCATATTTGAAAAAACAGCCCAAAATTCCACGCATCAACTCAGGGACCCCCCAGCCACAACTTGTGACGGGGCCAAGACTTTTGTGATCTCCCTCGAAAAACCACTAGAATGAGAAGGCAAACCCTGCAGGTGGATATCCCCTGGGTGCCTGGTTCGGCCATGGTCGAGGCCCTTGATCGGACACGTCCCGAGTCTGAGGGGTCTCACGAGACTTCCTCAGACGAACGGAAAGAACAAATAGGAAAGAGAAGGATGTGATAAACATGTTAAAAAGCAAAGAAGGGAGTCTGGGAACCATGGCCCCTTCAGCGTGGGTCCCCAAATCACCTACGCATGCGGAGTGTCAAGCTCCAGCAGCAGCGATGATGGCCAGCTTGTGAAGGCCACTCCTCCCAGAGCCGGAATGTCTTCAGTGCCAGCTTTGGGAGTATGCTCTCCATCGCCTCCTTTGGCCTTATGAAATGCCAAACAAAAACTGAGTGCACGAACTTTTCGTGGCTTGGACGGCTTCAGCGTCACATACTCTGACTCCATCCAACTAGCAACGGATTATTGCGCTTTTTTCCAAAACGGAAATCGGTCTGAAGGAGGTAATCTACACATGTGGAGCATAATACGAGCCTAACGCACCACATTACTCCTTGTGACCAGTGCTGCGCTTGCGCAAACGCAGTCATGCTCATTTTTCAACTAGCTCCTTGCAGTTTTCGGCTTAAGTGCCAGCCTAGCATGCCCCTGCCCTACCCCCCTGTGTGGGAATGCCAGGGGCATGGCTATCTCCGACAGGATATCCAGAAGCCTGGAAGGGCACGGATCTGGCAGTGGGGGACTACATTGAGTTTGTCCCTTACGACAACACCTACGTGAGGCAGGGGACCGTGCTGGCCAGGTTGGATAAGGTGGACACCCGGACCCGCAAGGGCAATGGGTGGAAGCAACCTTCCTGGCGGTCTCCGATGAGCACCGGGAGACAAGGCGAGGAAGGACCTTTGATTTCCACACTGACCGCCTCAGAGTAGTCACTCTTGGGGACCTCGCCGACAAGAAGATTGATTGTCGTGAAAGGTCCTCGCCAGCGCTACGTCAAGGATGAGGTCTCCCGACTTGCTGGAGGAGATGAGCCAGGCGATCGCCCCAGCAGGCCAGGGAGACGAGGGCAAGCACGATGTTTTGACCAAGCTTAGTCAGTTGGAAAAGGAGATTGGTGATGGGCCTGCGGGCCGGAAGCGCAAGCCGGAAGGAAAAGAACCGGCTACGGCCGAGACTCCTAAAGGGGAGGACTCCAACAAGGAGAAGAAAAAGAAGACAGGGAGGGTCCTGACCCGAAAGATCCATCAAGAAAGGTCAGCCGGCCGGATGGTTTGGCAAAGAGGATACTCCGCCGGATACGTCCGAGAGTTCGGAGACCACCAATCCCTCTGAGGAGGAGAAGCGGGATACGAAACCTGAGCAGAAAGAAAAAGAAGAAGAAAAAGAAGAAGCAAGGATGGAGGAGCAGATCGTGGCCCCTTTGGTGTCAGGGCGAAGGTGACCTATGGAGGCAAGATTTCATCAGGCGGGTTTTTGCGAAGCCCCCTCCTCCCAGGGCGGAATGAGCCTTCAGCTGCAACTGAAGGAAAACTCCCAGCAGAAGCCGGGAGACTCGCCGCTCGGCTAGTGCAACGAATGCAGACCTTGTTGGCCAAGGAGGGGGGGGGGACATGGTTACATCACCAAAGAACGAAGACACCCCCCGTGGCCTCTAACTGGGTCCTCACCATCCTCGCTCAGGAAAGTGCTCAACGTGAGGGTGATGAGAAAGATCCGCGCGCTCGCCCTCGCGCTGGACCAGATCGCAGCCGGTCACAACCACCATGCCAGCAAGGTCCCCCGCCGGAGGTAAAAAAGGCTCTGGAACCGCGATGAGGTGCCACCTTCATTTCCTGGGCATCATGGCCAGAATAAAACGAACATATACTAAGGCAGTAGCGGCTTCTCTTCTCTTGAAGATCCCCAGAAGCTTGGCATCTTTGGATGAGCATTGGCGGAGTACATCAATCACCTCTCTCAAGAAGGAGATCACATCTCCATGGCGGGCTGGACTATTAGCTGCCTGAAGCGTTTCTACCCCGAATGCAGGTTACACCTTTCAACGGCATAGACGTCCTATAGGATCTGGCAGCGGGTCCATCTGCCCCTGCGCACCACTCCGATGTCTTGGTTGGGCGCACAGGCGATGGCCAGCACCGCATTTCAAGTTGGAAGGTCAGATCTTGCCATCTTGGTCCTTTTGGGTTTTGTTTTTTAATGTTTTTTCTTCGGACAATGGGTCTCGTCTCTCTGCAGGCCCATCATCATGTGCGCCTTTTTCCTGATGATGAGACAGTGGTGATCGCAGTTCTTCACGCAAAGATTGTGCAGGGCCTTCAACAAAATCTCTCACTGCATGAGCCTGATCTTGTCCCAGTACATCCCAGTGCTGGCTGCGGATACAGCCTGATGGGCTTTTGTTTCCAAGTGGGGTTCCAGCCTTTCGGGAAGCTTTTGCTGCGCTAGTTCGAGCTGTTGGCTTGGAGCCGGCTGCTTTTCTTCCATACTCCCTTTGCCGTGGAGGCGACGCGGAATTTTATCAGCGCACGCAAAGCCTTGGTCACACGATGACTCAAAGTAGGTGATGGGACCAAACCACCGCAAGAACCGACATTGTTGATGCTAGGGCTACATTGGTTCAGCTCCTTTTGCTCTCCTATGTCACCGCCGTTCAACAACGCCTATCATCGTTTTGGCGGATGGTTGTGCCAAGGTAGCTCATTTTGGCAAGTTGGCTTCGATTAAGCGAGTTGGACCAAATTGCAAGCTCCTGTGTAAACTGAGGGGTGGCGTGGCCATGAACCTGTACAGGTTTTCATTCAATCCCTATTTCTGGTGCGGATATTTGTGCCGCACCAACTCTAACAACTTTCCAGCCCCTCTGAGCTTTGCGAAAACAGTATACCTTATGGGGCAAGGTGTCTCTAGTGAAATGGCTTCGTTATGATAACATTGAATTTGATGAGCAATGTCTGGCACGGCAGCATTGGTCTGCTGTTTCTGTCATATTAACATCTATTTTTTCCAATCTTTCTGCACTGCATACATAGCGTGTTCCGAGTGTCTGCATGTGTAAAATATTCTCATAGCCCTTCAGTGTCTTACACCAGTACGTTTTTGGAGTGTATGCATAGGGGTCGTCCGTTGTAGATTTACCTTGGCATGTCAGCACTGCCTGTTTACTTGGATCAAGTTTTAGTGTTAGCTTCCTTTTCTTTGTCATAAAGTTCGGACGCCAAGAAAATTGACTTTCAAAATGTGAATGTAAAATCGATGCTTATTGTGTATAAATTGTTTGTTCGTTCAGTTTTAAAGTCTTTGCTTACTGTATGTAAGTTGTTGGTTCATTTAGTTGTATTCGTGTTTTTTTTCATTGTGGGCAGTTGTAAGCGCGCGTATACTATTATTGACTATATTATCCGGTAACTGCAGCTTGCACGGAACACAAGTATAGTCTTCAGGCTGACTATAACTTTTGTATTTGCGCACTCCTTTTTCGGTCAGTATTAATCTACAATCTTTCAGTTACGAAAATGTCCAAGAAGTATGGTGAGAAGACGGGCACAGTGGCTCGCATATTGGGGTGGGGGGATGGGTTTCAAGTGACTTGCCGCCATCTTGTCCAGGTGGCGTGGCTGCTTTCAGCTGTGATGAGCCATGTGTCCCATGTTGCAACAGAGGCCATGATTGATGCCGTGCGATGCTTCCAACTTGGGGTTAGCTGAAGAGGGGCTTGGGCCGGGGTTTCAGATCCAGACTTTCCTCGACTTGGCTGAAGAAGGTTGTAGCACGTAGGACACGGCAGTAGCAAGGTGTACAGCGCATGTCCACTCGCTTGTTAGAAGCTGCTTTTGCAAGCAGTTGATGTTAGTCGAAAAGTTTTTGTGAAGTTTCGTTTGCAGTGCTTGGTAGGAAGCTGGAAAAATGCGTGCTTGGATGTGTCGACAGGCAACCGTCAAGGAATTTCTCAGCAATATCCTTGACTCATCGAAGACAAGCTGCTCAGAACTCGGTCAACTGGAGGCTTCAGCAGCAGTTGTTCGAGTGATGTGTACACCTCCTGGTGTTCTCGCATGCTTGGAAGGCAATCACGAACCTGCTGAAGGGAGATGCCTTCAGAAAGCAAGTATGGTCCTTCGCAGGAGCTTTTCATCATTCCTTGGTTGGTAGGTGGTCCCTTTTTGGATCCCCATTTTGATGTGTCCCTTGTATTTATTCGGCATATCTGAAAAGAAGCCGTGACTTTGTACCATCTACAATTTCCAGCTGAAGCTCGCGCTGCCAGGAATTCCCGATCGCATCTTCAGGCACTCTCCTTGTTAGCCAGCGCAGATTGCTTAGGAACCCTGCGAAGCATTTAGCGATAGGCAGATAGGCATTTAGATTCCGTACAACAAGTACCCCTACCATGATGTTCAGATGGGTTGTTATCATTTTTGCTAGTTATGCTAGTTATGTCCAGCGTGACCTCGTGATGGCCTGACCCTGCATTTGCAAGCCTGGCACGACGCGACGTTCAGCCTTCCTGTTTTGGCCGGGCGGCGACATCTAAGTTGTGATACCTGTGCAGGATTCAGCCCAAGTCGTCGCCTTCCCCTCACTTGTACAAGCTCCTGGGTCCGCATTAAGCCTTCTGCATGCCCGCATGCCTCGTATCGCATCCTGTAAACAGAGTGCATAAACTTCAACATGACCGCACTTATGCTTGCAATCCTGCCAACAAGTTTGTGCAGGTGCATCTTTGCAATCTGGGCATTGCACCTTGATTGCAGCATGTGACGCTGAACAGCAAGACGTCCGTCAGACTCCATCATTGCTGTAGATCCTTCGATCCGCAAATAACCAGCGAGCTCAAGGCCTGCATTTGACATGCTTCTCAAACAGATGTCATGGTTTTGTGGGGCTGCGCCATTGCCGCTCGACCGAGACAGACTGAAGGAGGTGGTCGATGCTGGGAGAGCGCAGTGTAACCATATGATTGATGATTTGTATGAATTGGCGCAAGGTCCTGAAAAACATTGATGATTTGTCAGGGAGGTAAAGCAAAAACATCTAGCAGCGACAAATAGAGCTTGAGCTAGCCCAAACCACACTGACTTGCATCAAAGTTCTGGACAGAAAGTACAGTGCAAGCGTTGCTCAAGACACTGATCGAGCAAGCTCAGAGCCCTTCGGGCCCTTTCTGGCATCTTCTGCAAGACAGAAGAGAAAGTCAATATAGACAAGGAACCTAAAACAAAGCCAGCTCCAGCGGTCACAGCTGAAGGAGTTGAGGCTTGGGAACCCTTAAGCGGACTTGGTACTTGGTACGGTTGGAATCGTGTTGTAAGCAGTGCTCGAAGGCCCCTAACACTCCCAAATGCTAAAAAACAGATTGAAGAACAAGGGGGCACTCATATTCTCAGTTAGGAGCGGTACTGGAAACGTGCATGTGCAGAGTATCCAAACCATTGCTTGCTTTTCTAAAGCAATGTTTCCTAAAGAGGAGCCGGCACTGCAAAGTATAGGTTAAATCTCTATCGCTTCCACGATGTTCCAAAACCTGAGGGGGCTCTGCATATACAGAGCAAGTTTTCCTATTCATGGCAAAGAATCTATACAGCAGCTGTTGGAGAGGGCGGGTTACAGACTGGTCCGTGCTGTTGAAACCTCTGATAGCAAATGACGGCTCCCAATTTTATTGACAATAGCTGCTCGAAGTGGACCGCGGGCTCACGTATGCAAGAGCTCTGGCATGTTGCCTCCCAACATTTTGCGACACTGCCTATTTGAGCATCACCGCTTTGCACGCCGAGCAAGATAAAGCTCGAGTCGGGAAGCAATGGGGACGAAGGCGACCTCAGGCAGAAATTTGCGGCGGCCGGTGTCTCACCCCAATGCTGCCCGTGGCAGTACCGCCAGCCGCAGTCAAAAGCTCAAAAAACCACAGCAAGCGCTAATGAGGCAGACTATAGGCCTTTCGTCCAGTTCGAGACCTACGACAGCAAACCCAGAAGTGACATGAAGTATTGAAGTTGCGTGCAGTCGTCGCACTGCTCAGAATTGTTTGTAAGCGCACTTGTGGGAGGAAGTGGGCGCTCCATGAAGCCGTCCATTTGCTCAGACCGCCTTCTTGACCCACCCGCCCAACCCTGGCGATTTTTCTTAATACGGTTGACATACGTAGGTTGACTATCATGCTGTCAGCTGAATTCGGGTGGGCCTTTACTGTTTACTCCCTTCTCCGGTCCGGTGGGTGCAAGAGTGCCCCGTCCTTCCTGAATTGGGGTGTGTGAGGGCCTCCCGCCTTATGGCGATTCCGCCACCGCATCCAAAAAGTAGCGCCACGGCACATTTTAACATGTCCGTACATGTGCGGCTTGTTCACCTCAGACGCCTTGAACCGTTCAAAAAAGATATACATAAAAAGATCAAACAAGAACATTGTGTTAGCTTCGGCAGCGGAGCTTTGTCCTCTTCCGTGTGGCTTGAGGCACGTTCCACGAATGCTGCCAACATCTGCCAACCTCGGTATCACTGCCTTACACGGGAACATCCTCTGCTTGGACCACCTCACACCTCATCCTTTTTGAGCTCCTCCTCCATTGGAGAAATTGAAAGCACCCCTAGATCCAGAAGTATGATAAAGCATGGTTTTCTACCTGCCTCAACAGCGGCACGCTTATTAGGCATTTTGCAATGATTCTTGTCTTCGCGACGGAGCCATTAAAGATTTCTGAGGGGCGGGCTGCTGAGAGCGACAACACGTGACAAGCTGCGTGACGCGCAGCGGGGAGCAATAAGAGGCGGGAACGGGACTGGCTGAGAATATCACAGGATGAGGGACGCTGGGGCGCCGGGATGCACGGAACACACGAAGGGCAATGTCACCCTGCAGCAACATTCTTCCAGGCGAGGCACATCGTGTCGGGAGCGCCTTATTGTGACACATGTGTCCATACGCATCAGTGAAAATCTCGAGAAATTGCTGCAGGCCTGAGTAAAAGGGCAGAGCATGCGGGTATTTCAGGCAATTGCCCTGGCAACTTTGATTCGTGCATGTGACAATGTCCCTGATCACCGCAGCCGCTAGAGCAGACCCCGCTAGAGGTTTCTTACTGTGCCGAAAATGTTTGAATCAAGGCGTCTTACGTCTAATGCTGCCGGGCCCACTAACCGACTGACCACACTGAATGGTACTCGTCCTGCTGCTGCAAGGGGGTTTCGGGGAGTATGCGAGGCTGAGTGCAAGCTTCTAAGAGTTGAGAGAGCTTTACACTTTGCCAATTCAGGACCAAAATCACGCCGAGTTGTTGCCCCAGCATTCGTTGATAGAATTCTCATACATGACTGAAGACAGGGTGACTCCTCTGTGGTGGCTGGACATTGCTTAGCAAAGACACCGCCACCTGCGAATGTCCAAGTCGTAATTGCTAGACACCACCGGGAAGGGGGCCACTTTTTCCATAAGTTGGTGCGCTCAAAAGAGCATGCAGAGCCGTAGCAGAAAGCGGCGGCACCTGGATCAGCCCACATGGAATGTGGCATATACACAATGATCTGAGTGAGTTGGTGAGACAGTACTTAGGATGGAGATGATCGACAGTGTTGTTTTGTTGGTTTTCCGCGCAAGCCCCCAGGCACGCGTGGGGTCCAATGTCGAACGCCTTCTGGTTTGTTGGCTGTCATTTCAAAACGCATGATTACGCCTGTTGGTGAAGAATGTAGGTACCCGAACGTTAGCCACCCAGTTCCTGCTACCCAAGCTCTTGCCCGTCCTTCAGCCATGCCTTTGAAACTGGTGCGTCGGAAGACTTTAATCCTGAAGACATGATAGGAATTGGCACATGCTGTCAGCAATCTTGTGTCCTGGTGCACGGGTGTAATCCCTCTTCAATCTCACAAGCTGAGCAAAGGACTGTTTCTCGCACACTCAAAAGCTACGTGGATACAAGGATGTATGCAGAATTCCTGCCCGAGACCAGCCTGTTAGGGCTACATGCCTGCAGACAATGGACATTTCAACTGAAGCTGTGCTTAAACTCCTAAGCACGTCCGAAGTTTATCGCGCGATTGTTGGGGAAAAGCGCGCTGAGTCATCGCAGCTTCCCTCAACATGGGTCGTCGCATCTTTCTTGGCTTCAAACAAGTATTCCTCAACCGTGCGACTCCTTGCAGTGAAAGATTATTTTGGAAAAGCAAGAACGTCACTTGTGTGAAGGTACGGAAGCAGGGTGTAAGATTTAGATGCTGAGTGCACGGAGCAACGCAGCACTATGCATCATGTCTTGTGCCAGTGAAGGCTCTTGAACAGGGGTAGTCCCGCCCTGCACGCAGCACCAACCTTGTTGCTTATTTCTTCTTCGTCCCTGCCTGGCAATTCACATGCAAATGTATTTGGAGGATATGTACGTCATCAAGAAGCTCAAAGAGACCTTGATGTATAGTCGCGTGGAGAAGGCTGTTTCAAGTCATTGTGTCTTGCCTGCTTTGCACAGCATCTATCAAGAGAGACCAGAGGTTGTCCGCTTGTGTCTGACCGTCTTAAAAAACTTTCTGGGAGCAGGGCTCAGAGGCAGTAGGATGGCCACATAACCTGGTGTTTTGCGCCCAAGTCACTTCGCCATGCGATGAGGTCACAAAAGCATGTGTGAAGACATTGTCGAGGAAGGCATTCTGGAGGCTTGCCATGCAATTCATGAAGCTTCTTACTTGTAGCTTGGGCTTTGAAAGAATTTCGCATCCTGTTTGGGGATCCCCATAATAAGGATTCTAGCATTTCAGTATTTTTCTTGGGGTCTCCCAAACCCTAAGCCCCGTCATTTATTGCTAGCTGACAAGCTTTCCTGTTTGCAGCCAGGCGGTGCAGCAGTTGGAGTTCGAGAAGTGGCGGGATCCCGATCTCTATGACGACATCAAGGAAATTATGAACCCTAAATCCCAAATTCCAGGTACACCGTACAATCCCTCTAAACCTCATGCAATGTAATACCCATAAGACACACTTGAATGGACCTTGTTGCCTTTCATTTTGAAGCTCCAGGAAATGGCAATCCAGATTGGCTCGGAGGCATGGCGTGAGCTCCAAAAGCAGAAAGTCTTTGAGACGTTCTCGTTCAAGTGTTTTAGAGTTACATAGGCCTTACATAAAAGGGCTATGTGGGGCTTTAGAAAGCTAAGGTGCTTATCGGGATTTCCTAAGAATTTGTGTGGAAGTCCCCCAACAATGGAGAATCAAGGGTTTGGGGCGTAGCGAATGATGGAGAATCAACTTGAACAGAAAATGCAAAATTAAGTGGAACCGGAATTATGTAGGGTTGTAGCCGCCAGGTGAACGAGATGAGCAACTACGAGCGCTACGAGCGAGAGCTGCAGACCGGCAAGCTTCAATGGGGCACGCCAATCAGCAGTGTCACGTCTTGCAGATTAATTCTCTATGAAAGTCGTGATCCAGGCTTCATTCATTCCAGCAAGTTCTGGGCAGAGAATGTCATGAAGCCTCTTGTCTGAATATAGACAGCTTGACAAAGTTATGCATGGCAGATACCTCTTCTGTGCTGTAAGAGAAGATCACCTGCTATAAATTTCAGTGTAGATGAGTCCCGTGAACAGCAAGTCACGCCTTGCTCATGGTCTGCTATCTTTTGAGGTTTGAATCGAACGACTTCAGAGCCATCCTGTCGAGTTTGTGGCCCAAGAAAGCACCTCCCGAGCCCGTGGCCCCTGCTCTTCTGCCAGCTGTCCACCCTACAGTAGCATGGTCCTGTTGGCAAAATGTCGTGAATCTGTACAGCTTCAGACAAAGTTTTAATTTGTCGACGCCATAAAAGTGCAGCCTTTGTTGATTAGTTGTGTCAGCTGATGCTTGATTACAAACAAACGCAAGCAATCGCGTATCTGTCGAAGCACTGGCGTGCAGAATGAAGCTTGCATTCTATGACATGACTGAAGCGCCAGCATTTGCATCCTTTGCTGGTGGGCCAGGCCTTGAAGATGCTCGCATCACTGTTGCAAAGCTCCGAAACAGATGCCACAACTCTGGCAGTGGCATGCGCGCCTCCCAGCTTCAGTTTATGGGCTGGCATCAGAATTGAAGCGGCAGCTTACTTTGAGATTGCATTTGGACCTGTGCGAAAACTTCTTGCCTTGCTTCTGGACAGCCTGCCAAAGAGCGGCGCGGAATTTTGGTTATAGCGTGTTCCAAGAGGTCAAGTTCCGGCACTGAGGCAAAGCAACTGCCAGCAGAAATTGCCAATTCTAAACGACATAGACAAACTTCGCGGGGCAGGGCTGTGGAACGGTGAAGTTTGCTTTACCACGCTTGTTTGCATGTGTGTGGGGGGGAATGCCGTGGAATTTGCCCATGAAGTTTTGCAAATAGGCGAGCAGCCTTCCAAAACTTCGCTGTCAAATCTAGGCGCATTCTTCGCCGGTGTCCAATATCGGGTTACAAACTTTGCCGAAAACCGTCGCCGCAATTTCTGCGCAAACTTCTCGGTAGAAGATTTCCAAGCTCAGCAGCACTCAGAAGAGTGACACCGCAAGGAGCGAAGAGGTGCCAAGGCCAGCTCAACCTTTTCGTGAACAGCTGCAGTTGCCGTTGTTTCTGGCTAGCCTCTAAACGCTTCCGCATTGTAGATGTTCCTATAACATGTTGTTGACCGGTGGAGCACTCCCGGGCCTCAGACGCGTTTGCAGGGGTAAATAGGCTTTCTTTCTTACTGAGACGTTTTCACGTGCAAATTGTTTGCGTACAAACCCTGGTGACTTGCACAGTTCCCACGGGTGCGAAGACTTCAAGTCGTTCAGCCCGTTGCACAGCTTTCCGTGCCCGAGTAAGCTTCACACCGTTCTCTAGCTTCTAGAGCTGGAATGTCTCGCGCTTATCAAGGCCACGATCGCAAGCTTTATGTTACGTACCGTATGACTTTTGTTACGCAAGCATGGTAAGGCCGGTTCTGCTGACTTTCGTATGTTGCTTGGACGATTGCTCACCCTCAACTGCAGCTCTGGAAGCTTGTGTCTACAGATGTCTACAGCACAAACCGAACCAACCGCCATGCGCAAGGATAACATTGACGAGTCTTCTGAAATACTGTGGCAAGCAAAACTTCAGAGTAACTTCGCCTGGCAGAATAACAGACATAGCTCGTCCAGCTCCGCCTGCGACCGCAAGGGCTCGCGCACATGCATCATGAGATGGTCATGTCAATCAGGAGTAGTCCAGAGATGGCCGCACTCTGAGTATACATGTGTGCAACACGTTGCAGCCTAACGAAAGCATCTTGACATACAGACTTGACCCAGAGATGTGCACCCAGATGCTATGGAATCCTTGACATGGAGCCCAGAATAAATCAAGAATAATTCCCTGATAACCCCTTGGAGTTCAGAGGTATCGGTTTTGACAATGGTCAAAAAGGTGGTTTGGACATTATTCGCATGTCCGGTCCACCCAATTACCTTTCAGATTCAAGCAGTGGCTTGGATCAGGCCATGACATCGGAGAGTTTGTGACCCTCCACCCTCTGGGCAAGAAGAAGGTACAGCCGCGCATTCTTGGCTACGAAATTTGCGAGTTTGTCCAGACAATCCCCACATTAGGGTCCTAACAAGGACCCCCCCGCAATCCCCAGACAATTCTAGGGTTTCTAGGGCCCCCCCTTCTTGAGAAATTCCCATTTCTCAAGGTCTAGACTTGGACACAGGTTGCTCAGCTCCAAGTGAAGGAGAAGGCTTGGTTGCCTTCCTTTCCCGCTCCCACTGATATTCAACCCTTTCTACTTAATGTTAACTGCTAATTAAATATTACCACTCTGGTATGCCATGATAAACTGGTACTGTAGTATCGAATATACAGTATTACCACTCTGGTATGCCATGATAAACTGGTACTGTAGTATCGAATATACAGCGAGGTGGGGATGCTGATGTTAGGCGGGCCTTGTTTTCTTTCGTCGCAGGTGATGCAGCTGATGGCTGCCCAAGATCCAAATTTCCGAGAGGTGCGGCGAGAAGCTCTACTTTGCTGCCGGGGACCTAAGGATGGCATGCTGATCAGCAAACTGATTCGCAGATTTTTGAACGACATGGCACTTGTAGGATGTCAACTTTAGCCGTCCCTATTATTGAGTATCCAGAAAGCGGACCATACTCTTGCAAACCTGCCATATGCTACCAGGTCAGAAAATTATGCTGAACAAGTGGCAGGCCCGTGTTGCTGCTCAGACCAGCTCAGAACTGCTCCACATAATCCTAGCCTCAATTCTAGGATAATCAATTGGCAAAGCAAGTGGAAATTGAAATGGAAACGGTGATTGAAAGGGAGTTTCTCAAAACATCCGCTAGAATCCTTATAAGGACCCTCCGCAATCTATGTATAATCCTTGCATTTTCTGGGGTCCCTAAGGGAAGGGCTTTTTTGAGAAACTCACATGCCTCCATCTTCAGCCTTCTGTTCTTCCATGTGCGTTTTTGCATCCAGGACATGGAGCAGGCTGGACCTGGTGCAGAAACGCAAATGCAGCGGAGTTTGGTGGCTAAGCTGTTGACAGCTACGGGGCATTAGCGCATGGAGGTATGGGCAATTATTTCTCAAAATGGCATTATGGAACAAGGGCCCCATAATCCTCTTGTAATAGGGTGCCCGTTTTGAGATGTTTTGAGAAGCTCCCATAGTGCCCACATGTTGGATCTACAGCCACAGCCTGCCACCCATGCCGTAGCGCGGCTTTGGCTTTGACTTGCCTCTGGCAAGCAAGAAAAGAAGGAATGATCCTTATGGCAGCTCCTATCCAATTTTAGTTTCAATTTTTCTCCATTCCTTCACTCCCTGCTGACCAGAGGTAAGTTGAGCCCTGTCAGGTTCCCAAATAGTTTTGGTTGCGCGCAGATGTCGAGGTGACTCGGCTTGTTGTTGTCTTGATTAGGGTCAGTCACTGCGATATTCTGAAGCAATCGATCGTGGCATTATTCGCCAACATAACTTGTTCACACTTACACTCAGGCTCGACTGACAGATGCCCTGCAGCATGGGCCACAGGCAAGCCACCGAGGACCCACAACACGCATAATATGCTATTATGTGCTAGGGAGGAAATCTTGCACCCGCCTATATACCTTGTACCTAGGAATGATTACAGTTTAGGTGTCCTAAGGAGTGCAAGATTTCGTCCATGCACCGTGGCAGGCACTGTGAAATTGCTTTTTACATGGCACAACACATTTGCTCGGATTTCTGAGGTGCTGGACCTGGAACCTTGTGGCCCTGCACCAGCAAGACGAAAATGATGCACAACCTTCCTTGTGGCATGTCGGAGAGAGCATAAGCAATTATTCAGCCAGCTGTTAACGGTTGTTGATAAGATTCGGATTGGACTCCACGAGCTCGCAAGACAAATGCTGATATTATCATGCCAAAAATTGATATCAAAGACACGTATCTTATACGTCTATGAAGCAAAACCACTGGGTTTATAACAGGCTTCGGCGGCCATTCCGC